GAGTCACAACTTCTGGGTTCTTGTCCTGGCTCTGCCACTGATTTGTGGGGTGACCCTAGATAAATCACTTCTGCTCTCTGTGTCAGTTTCCCTGTCTCTAAAATAGGTTCAGTAATACCTATCTGTGACCCAGAGCACCCCTGTATTCACACCCTACACATCATTGTAATCTTTGTGCACAATATACCTTGTGAGGTATCATTTAAAAACTAATAACACGCTGATCATCAATATTCTTGTGTAATGTATGTACGAAATTTGTATTAAGAGTTAAGAACATAAGCTGAAATGATGACTAATGGGTGTTTACCAGACAAGTCTGGGGATGGGGTGAACCGGGGTGTCATCAAAGTTAATTGGCAATCAGTGGTCAATTGGCCATTATTTGGCAACAAAGTGGGGCAGGAACAGGTCGATCTGCATTTTAGCAAACAACATGGAACTTCTTTCACCATAAGATTCCATGCCTCCATCCTCACAGCTGGAAGGCACTTTATCAGGGGTAACCCTCAGGAAAATCAATGAGGAGTCCTTGTGGCACCTTAGAAACTAACAAATTTATATGGGCATAAGCTTATAAATAAATTTGTTAGTCTCTAAGGTGCCACAAGGACTCCTTGTTGTTTTTGCTGATACAGACTAACATGGCTACCACTCTGAAACCTCAGGAAAATGTAATTCAAAGGGTGACTGGACTGTAAAAGCGAGGGGCAAAAGCACCCCAAGCTTTCTCTCCCCATCTCTCTTTCATCTAAGATGTCAAAGGAACCAGCCCTCTGACTTAGGGGAGTTCCTGACCTGAGAATTTGGTCAGCCCTCTTGCTGTGATCTGTGGTAAGGATTTTGCCTGGAACCAAGTCTAGCTTGTTAAAACATTTCTGGTAGCTAAAACTTATCTTTATTTCTCTTGTATCCATTTCTGACTTTAATACCTTATACTTGTTCTCACTTAAGCTCTTTCTCTGTGTAGTTAAATCATCTTGTTTTATTTTTTTCATTATAAACTAATCCAGTGTTGTGTTTAAACTGAACTGCTTGATAACTCCATTTAAAATACACCTCTACCCCGATATAACGCTGTCCACGGAAGCCAAAAAATCTTACCGCGTTATAGGTGAAACCGCATTATATCGAACTTGCTTTGATCCGCCGGAGCGTGCAGCCCCGGCCCCCCGGAGCGCTGCTTTACCGCGTTATATCCGAATTCATGTTATTTCGGGTCGCATTATATTGGGGTAGAGGTGCAGTAAACTTGAATATTGACCCCTTACAGGGGTAATGGACCGCTAATATCTAAACTGCCCTGGAGAAGGCTGGACAGTGCAGAACACACTGACCTGCACTGAGGATTTGCCCTGATTCCAGCCGCTGTGTCACCACATCAGTGCAAACAGGGTAAGCTGTCATTTGCTTTGCTGCAGCTTACCCTGGTTCCAAGCTGGAGTAAGCAGCACCAGTGCGAACAGTGGCTTTGCCTGTGTACAGTAGGAGTTTGCACTGGTGCAGCTACCCCAGGCTTTATAATATCATCTCTCCTGTCACTTTGGTTATATTCCTGCACTTTTATGAAGATAAGATCTATGCAAATGCAAAACATTATACTTTCACCTAATAGTCTCTGATGCTGATCCTTTTGTGCAAAGCCTACTATGTCCCATTTTATAGATGGGGAAACCGAGGCAGAGAGCGGGAAAGTGACTTGCTCAGGCCACACAATGAGGTAGTTGCAGAGCTGGGAACAGAACCCAGGAGTGCTTACTCCCAATCCCATTTTAATTGATAACAGATGTTCTAGAGACCGTCAGGATTTGTCTTCGCAAGAGAGAACTAAAATAAATACCCTGGTGATGAGCACAGTATAACAATGTAGACACACGGGAAGAGGTATTAAATAGAATGAGATGGTCTTGTTACGTGGAGACTGTTTCCTCCTGCATCTCAGAACAGAAAATGAGATTATTCTTAACGAGAATCTCTTGTCTCCAGTTCATGCATCCTCCAAGTGTGACTGGCTGTCGCTGAAATTCGAGAGACACTGTGATGTCAGCAGCAGCCTCGGGTCAGACTTGCTGTGCATAATTGGGTTGTGTATCCGCATAAGTATAGGGTCTGACCATGGTATGTAAAAAATAACCCAAAGTCCAACTGCCGCTGCCGTTTCAGCATGGCAGTCGCACTGCGTCGTGCAGTGCACAGGCCGAGTCCAGTTCTGCTCAAAGGAGGTCACCGAAGTTCTGCACAACTGGACCTCTAAGACTTTGCTCCTTTCTATGCTTTTGACTGAATCTCCCCAGCTGTAATTAATTGAATGCATCTGTCCTAACCCTGGGGCTGCTACTTGGCACAGTTATTTCAAAACTGTTCAATTAGCGGCCCCTAAAATCTAGGTCGAATGGAAAGCTGGTTCGGGCATTTTCCAGGTCAGGACATTATCAAAATAAAAAATATAAAAAAAATGTTGTTTTGTTTGGCAACACGGTCTGGTTTTGTCGGTTGCCATTGGGTCAGAAAATGGCAAGCCACAGGGGTGGTTTTTGGATGTGTGATAAGTCAACACATCCTGTAGTGTAAATACTGCAATAAGTAGGGTTTAAACTAATTTACAGTCGTAAGGAAAGTAAACTGTCAAGACTTGTGTTCTGGTTATGTGTGACTAGCAGTGTCAACATTAGCAGCCCGGGCTGTCAATGTTCAATAGAATACAATACAACTTGATTTTTGTATAGTGTCTTCTTTGGGAACACGGTGCTTTGCAGAGCTAAGTGGTACAAGACATGCTACGTGGTATGAGTTTCAGAAAGCAGCGGTGCAACAGACACTGTATAGTGAATAAATTAAAGCCTTCAGTCATAAAACCCAGAGTGCAAAGAGAGAGAAATTGAGGCATAGGCAGTGCAGAGAAAAGTATTTTAAAATACAATGCAGCTGTATATCGTATGGTCTATATAGCAAGTTGCAACCCAGAACATTTTGCCAAATTAAATAATACAGCTTCAGAGTTAATAATAAATAGGAGCAGAGGTGAAGGGAGAGAAATTAAGACATATAAGTGAGGGAGAAAAGAAATAGTTTCAGCTGAGATTTGAAAGGAGACGGGAAACAGAAAAATGAGGTAGAAAGATACAGGGAGGCTATTCCAGGCAGCAGATGCTGCGGAGAAGAAGGCTCCTGCACTGCTGGTAGTGGATATGTGAGGAGGCCAGTGTTAGGTAAGTGGAGGGGTTTAAAAAGGGATCATCCATAGAGGTCACGGGGTGGGGCACATGCCAATTAAATCTGTAGCCAGGGGATGTAATAGAACATGATATGCAGGGGTTCTAACGAGGGCTGCTTTGATGGGCTACTGAAACAGCGGGATATTCTGTATTTGCCAACATGAATGATTATCAGTGTTCATGTGTTACATTTCATCTCCTTCCATGTACTAACAATTCAGATCCCACCTACGAAGCTGTTCTGAGCTCCTGGGGAAAGTGGGCAGCCGGTCAGAAAAGTTGGGTAGGATGGTGGGAGGGTCAGAAAGCTGGAGCTGGTAACCAAAGGCTGGGGATTAAGTCACTCTTGCATTAATAATAATCCTTTGCTCTTAACTAGCGATTTCACAATCCATCTCAAAGTGCTTCACAAATGGAGAGTCTCTATCCTTATCCCCATTTTACAGACAAAGACCTGAGGCACAGAGACTTTCCCAAGGCCTCACAGCAAGCCAGTGGAAAAGCCAGGAATAGAACCGAGGTCTCTTGGGTCCCAATCCTATGGCCTCTCACTATCCTAGTGCATGCCACTGGCTGGGGAGGGGGAGTGATCTTTAATGAAATCCTATTGCAATTGGAACGGAGGCAATCATGATTGAGATACACTATAAGTGGACATCTTTAGAATGTACTCCTCACCCTTTATCATTTCAAAGAGTTGTTTGAAGTGCTTCTCGTTGCCTTACTCACTAATAAAATGTGGTATTAAAATTCAGAGACCGTCCAAGGCAGAACGTAATGAAGTTCTCCATAGCAGCAGCCCACTTCTTTAAGGTTATGATCTTGTATATAAGTCTATAAAAAGGGAGCTGATCCTATCTTTCTAGCAGATATTTCTGCTGCTAATATTGTTCAGGCCTCTGCCAGCTGCAGCACTTCAGCCATCTTCGGTTCCGGCACAGTAGGCACAGACGCTGGCTCCCATGACTACTGCAAGATGTCTGGGCGTGATATGGGGCATGGAAGTGAGAGAGGTGTGCTGGACTGGGGATGATGATGGGAGTCTCTGGCCGCCCCGAGGAGCCAGGTGGCAATGATGTAGGTTGCAGTGTTCGGTGCTTGTGTTCAGCTTGCGTGATAAAATTCATTATACAGCAAAACAGGTGAAGGAAGCACTGGGCTTTGTGGGGAAACCATCCAAAGACTCTCCTAGGTCCTGACATGGTAAAGCCAAGGTGTTTGTGTGAATGAGCCACTGTGCTGTAAACAAGTTCCATCTGCAAAGCCCAATGGGTCTGAGAGGATCCCCGGGTCATTTCCCCATTATCTCCCTGTGTTGATGAATGAATTGGCATTACTCCCCCAATGGGCTGAAGAGGCGAATGGCAGCCCCTAATGGTGCCTGTGTGCACCGTAAGTCACAGTAAGTCAGTGCTGTGGGATCACGCCACGGGGCTGTGCAAGCGTCCTGCATGCAGCTGTGCTGACTTACCAGCAGGCAGGCCCACAGCACCCCTATTGCTGCAGGAGCAGAGTCGCTGTGAGGAAGTACGATGGATTAACTCTTTCCTACCACGCTGCATCTCTTCAGCCTCTGCTGGTGGGAAACGGTGAGGAGAAGTTGGCAGGATAATCTCCCCTCCTGTCTGCAGCATGAATAGGCTGCCGGTCGGTTGGTTGCAGCTGCCAGCCCTTCGAGGGATCCCTCCAGACCTGGTGCAAAGAAAGTGCCAGGACATGAGCAGGCTCAAGGCACCTGCCAGGAGGCGACAGTAATGCAGATGCTGTATTTTGTTTCCTCTCCAGATCCTGACAGTGTCAGGGCCCCCAGAAGGAGGGACGCGGGTGACGATCCATGGCGTGAACCTGGGGCTGGATTTCTCCGAGATTGCCCACAACGTGCAGGTGGCGGGGGTGCAGTGCACTCCCCTGCAGGAGCAGTACGTCATCGCAGAGCAGTAAGTGCACTTGGCCCGGCTCTTAGAGTTCACTAGTGGGTGCCTTTAGTTTCCTGGCGTCTTGGTGTACAGCACCCGATCTAGCAGCCCTTCAGAAGGCCTGTTCTTCGTGATGAAAGCAAAATCACAGTCAGCTCATGAGTCAGAGACGTGCTCCAGTCACTGCCTGCCTCTCTCCTCCCTGCTCTGCAGAACTGCGGCAGTGCCTTGCGGGCCAGATCCTCAGTGGTTGTAAACTGATGTAGCTCTCCTGACTTAAATGGGGCTGGGCCAGTTTACACCTGCTAAGGATCACCCGCTTGGATTTCATCCCAGGCACTAACCGGCCCTTTTAAAGGTTTATTAAGCATTTTGTTTCCTTCTGCACCATGGCTCCTGCTTTGCTAAGCAACTTTTCTGATGAGCACCTTGCTGTTTACCCTCAGCCTTTCCACCTCCCTCCTCTCCGGTTGGAATGCATCCCGCACTGCTGACTGCAGGCAACCATTTGTTAGGTGTGTGAGGCGGTGACAGCAGTTTAATCCGAATAGGCCTCCACTGGAGTCAATTCATTTATTTCACTGAGAAAAATGTCAGCCGAAAATTAGAAAATATGCGTGTAACAGAGGACAGGCAAATAAACCTCCCAAAGTGACACATGTCCCCATTTCAGATTGAGGTTGGTTTTTTTTTTGGAAGTTCTATTTTATTTTAGCCAAGATGCCAATATGCTTACGAGAGTAGGGGGTGCATTCATGCAGAGTGGGCAAGATGGAATATGTTAAGCAATTTCTTTTATTGAGTAATCTTTGCTGCACTGGCAAGGTGCTCTGGCAGCTAATACAGATACAGTGCCGCACTGTCGGAGCAAGTCGGAGAGAGAGAGGAGAAACCCAAGGGACTGAGAATGGATCTGTCCCAGGGTCTGTAGCCGCTGAAAGTGGTTGTTCTTTGATGGCTTGAGTGAAATGAGTTTGGTGGGTCTCAGTCTAGTTCTCAAAGCAGAGGACGTGTCTGTCACTAAAAGCAGTTGGCTTTAATTCACCCCCTTGCTGGCAGTCCCAGCAGAGAGGCTTTGAAGACTGAGCTCCCCTTTCATGCCTAGCCACTACCTAAGCTGTTTCTGTGCTGTCTCTAGCTAAACTACATTGTTCCTGGGGACTCAATTCCTTTCACATGGACTAAATACAGATTTTGCAGAAAGGATGGCGACCTGCTCAGCAAGATAAACTTGTCTGTAAGGCCAGGGCAAAGGAGAATTGCTCTGGTGAGCTCTGGAGCTCTGGTGGATTACATTCAGCTTGAGTTCCCCTTTGGATAGTCAGGCTTAGCCCTGATCGTATTCCCCTGACTGTTCGCTCGTAAACACTGAGTGAAGTCTAAGTCCATCTCAGTTGCCCGCCGCTCAGGTCAGCGATGCTGGTACTGTAAACTGAAATGGGGGGTTCGGTCACTCCAGGGGGTAGGGAGAAGAGATTTCAGGCTGGGAAGATCCCTTATTTTAAATAATATAGTCCAGTGGTTAGAGCAGGAGACTGCAAGTCAGGATTTTTGAGTTCTGTTCCAAGGTCTTCCCTTCATTTGCTGTGTCAGTTTAGGCCAGTTACTTTAATCACTCTGTACCTCAGTTTCCACATCTCTAAAATAAGGATAATAACACTATCTACTGTTCTTAGTGGGGTGGGGGGACTGTGAGCAGCTCAGGTTATGTCTACACTTCGAACTCGGGGTGGGATGCCGCTGTTCATGTACACATACTCACGCTCGTTCTTATTAAGCTAGTGCGAGTATAAAGATCAGTTTGGCTGCGGTAGCATGGGAGGCAGCCTTGGAGGCATGGCTGAGCCATGCCAAGTGTCTATCCACAGTTTCACGTGGGTTTGTACTTGGCACAGCTCAGTCGTGCCGGCACAGCTCAGTCGTGCCACCACTACCAGAGCTACCCTGGCTATGCTGCTGTTTTGTACTCACACTAGCTCAATGAGCGCTAGCACAAGTATGTGTACGTGAGCAGCACATTCACACCCCTAGCTCTGAGTGTAGACATAGCCTGTGGATTTGTAAAGTGCTTTCAGATCACTGGTTGAAAGATGCTACCGAACTGCAAAGTATTATTATTATTTTATTATATTAATGACTCTCAAAGCAGTGCACTAATACCATTGTAAGACATGGTGATTTCTCTCCATTATGCTATAAAACTGTAGTATTTTATTTTTGAAATCAGGGATGGGAGATTATAAAATTATCCTCCTTTGATAGTATGAAATCCTGATTTTATAATGACAATTCTAATTGCAGCTCTTAAGCTTTCAAAGTTTGTTAACATCATTAAAACATTTATCCTGGGCAGATAACAGCAAGTGTTAGCATGAGAGCTGCCTTTTAAAGATGAATCCGGATAAAAGGACCCTCTGAAGGGTTCTGTGGGCAGACTGAATTCCGAGACTGTAATGACTCACCATATGTTCCAGCCATGCAATCTATCAGCTGGCAATTAGGTTAATGTTGGTTAAAGGGCCACTTAGCCCAGAAATCAGCACCCTACAGCTCTGTCGAGTGCATCATTTTGTAGGAGGGTACCTGCTGGGATTTTGGCCTGGATTAGGAATCAGAGATCAGACGTACCATAGCAGCTTGTGCCACCATTCCTCATTCCCAACATGCCTGATGGTGTATGCAATGACGTGTGCCCTGTTACTTGTTCTGGGGCTACTCAAAGGTATTATTTGGGCAGCTGAGTAATGAAAAGGTCCACGTTACTGGCTAATAGTTGGTCATTTGATCTTTTCTTGAGTTTGCTGAAATCCAGCACTGGTGTCCCCGTCCCCCTGTTTGGAATAAAACCTGGATCCCACCACCCTTTCTTTGTGGCTTCTGCAACTAGTCCCTGGGTTTTGGCTGCCCATCTGGTGGAGGGAATAATGACTATTCTCTCTCTCTCTCAAGATTGCAGCAACACTGAGGAGCAATCTCCCAGTCACAACCACCAGCCTGTCATGATTCCCCATCTCCCACAGACTGCCAGTGCCAGAACAACAGCACTCTCTTCTTGCTGCTCCTGCCTTCATGGAGAAGCAGCAGCCAAATGATGCTCCGGGGAGAAAGTTCCGTCGAGTTGAAAGGGGAAGAGAGAGCAAAGCGTGGCAAATTTAGGCACACAGCGGAGACACTTCAGCCTCTGTTCTCCAAAGGCAGCGTCTCTATAGGAAACCCATTTTGATGTGTAGTGATAATGGCTTTCACATGAAGGCTCTTTGCTAGCATGTTTGTATTTTGTTAAGCCTCCTAGCATCAGCTGCGCGTTTTGTCTACAGATTTTTTTTTCCCTTTAAATCCTTTTTATTCGCTAGTGAGTCTAGCACGGGTGAGAGCTGCTCAAATGATCACTTCAGAGACTGAAGACTTCTGTTTATCTAAGTACAAGCAGTGGTAGTACAAGCTTTCTCCACAATCTCCTGGCCAATATATCTTCAACCTTGCTCTGGTAGGGAGTTCGGTATCTATGCACCATCCGCCCTTGGCCTTTCCATTGGGACTGACCAACAGGGACCAGTTAGTTACTGCAGCAGAGTTTTCCATTATATAATATATTTATATATCCCATGCCATCTATCCATCCACTTACCTACCTACCTCGTGCTTAATCTGCTTTTCACAGTTGATCCTCTTTGTTCACCTTTCTCACTCCCGTCCACCTGGTCAGTGAGACTAGGCTGTTCACTTTTAGTCTCTCTGGTTACCAGGCTTTAGCAAACTGCTCTGGTGTTTTGTTTTTCTAACACCACAGTGGGAATGACTCCCGGCAGCATCCCTTTTGAGGCATTGCTAAGGATCCATGCTGGTTGAGGTGGCTTTCAAAACCTTGGTTCACTGCCTATTGAATCCGCTGGTGTGACAAATAATGAACAAGGAGCAATGGTCTCAAGTTGCAGTGGGGGAGGTCTAGGTTGGATATGAGGAAACACTATTTCACTAGGAGGGTGGTGAAGCACTGGAATGCGTTACCTAGGGAGGTGGTGGAGTCTCCTTCCTTGGAGGTTTTTAAGGCCCGGCTTGACAAAGCCCTGGCTGGGATGATTTAGTTGGGAATTGGTCCTGCTTTGAGCAGGGGGTTGGACTAGATGACCTCCTGAGGTCCCTTCCAACCCTGATATTCTATGATTCTATGATTCTATGATCTGGTTCCTGTTTCCAGTACATGTTACCCATTGCCACTGTCCTGGTGAAATCAGGTATTGCATGTGACCCAGGGAGATTTGTGTCATGCAACCAAGGGCAGGATCAAGCTCTTCCTTTTGTGACACCGTCAGGCCGGGCGCCTGCAGGAGGGTCTGGGGAAACAGATATGTTAGCCCTAGAATGCTAAAGGCCCTTTTTCCTACAAGCTGGGAAGGGGTTACTTCAGGTCAATTAGGGACACCTGAGTCCAATTAAGGGCTGCCTGAAACCTGTTAAAACCTCTTTCCTGGGGAGGGGGGACAAACTGCTGCAAGGCTGGTGGCAGCAGGGAGATAGGCTTCTCCAGCGTGAGAGACTGCGCTCCTTCCCATAGGGGAGACGTCCCAAACCAAGTGCCTATTTAGGGGAAGGACTGACACCCCGGGGCCAGTGGCAGGACAACCCCTGCCCCAGTGAGGGGGGCAGGGAAAGGTATTTCCCCTTTTGTTTCGATGTGTTATAGACTTGTTTCCCTTTGTTTGCCAGAGGAGCACTCCTCAGGCCTGCCCCGATGCCTACCTGATTTACCCCAGGCCCTGTCCCTGCCAGAGGAGGGAGCGCTAAGTCCAGCGAGGCAGAAGGGGCCTTGCCCCACTTTCTTTCCTGCCTCTCTCCCCGCCCACCATCCTGAGCTGCCATCCTGATCCATGACGTTTCTATTGAGTATCTCATGTTCACATTCTAAATACTATGATTCTTTACCCCTTCCCTGCCTGAGAGCCCATCCTCAGGTACTGATCTGGACTAGATGAAGAATACTGTATCCGTACAATTCAGTTCCACTAACCTTCTTTCATCAGTAGAAGGAGTAAACTTACCTTCTACGCAAAGGCCTGTGTCTGTCATCTCCTAATGGGTCTCTCCACTTCTGATTAAACAGGAACCCACAATGTGAGCTGTTCCCTTAATGAACTCATTCATTACTCTGAGGACTTCACACTTACTTTGCTTCAGGCTAATATATTTGCCATTAGTGCTCTGCATTGCTCTGGAGTTTACAGCTTGTAATAATTATGTCTAATTTTGATTTTTTTTTTAATTATTACATGGGGGGAAAATAGTAATTAGCTCCTTCGAAAGGGGAGAGCAGCAGACATCAAAATAAAGGGAGAAAGGGAACCATCCAGCTGAGTAAGTCACTGCTGCGTCTACCTACTAGGGTCTCATTTGTGGGCTTTATATTTTCAGAATTGTGTGTGAGATGGGGCAGGCCCTCCCAGGGATCAGTTCCGGTCCAGTGCGCCTCTGCATCGGAGAGTGCAAACCTGAGTTCATGGCCACATCCTCACAACAGTACATGTTTGTGGTGAGTACCTGGGCAAAACCGGTGGGAGGGATGGGCGAGCCAAAGCATCTTTTCTGATTTTGGCTGCTACACATACTAGCAGTGTGCTTTCGATGGACTTGTGGCTTGGGTGTGAGATGGGAAGCCAGGAAGTCCCGAGTTCAAATTATGACTCTAACACTGACTTCTCTGTGATGTTGTACAAGCACCTAATCAAGCGGTCTGATTTTTCAGACATGCTGAGCCCCTGTGGCTTCCACTGGCCTAAGTTTATGTCCCCAGACTTCTGTTTTATTTCCCCTGCATGTTAAATGGTGATACTATTTACCTGCTTCACAGAATTGTTGAGCTCAATTAGGTCCTGTTTGTAAAGTATCTTGAGATCCTCTGAGCAGAAGCACTATGTTAATGTAAGTTCATCCTGTAGCTAGGTACTATCCTGCCATGGAACTGGTGTCACGTTGCTCACAATTTTCCTCTTTCTCGGGAGGGGAAGAATAATGAAGACATGTTACTTTTGTATTTAATTTACTGGGATAAATCTATTGTGTTGCTTCTTGCTGCTCTCCACTGTACGTATTCATAATCATAAAAGATTAAGGTTGGAAGAGACCTCAGGAGGTCATCTAGTCCAACCTCCTGCTCAAAGCAGGACCTACACCAACTAAATCATCCCAACCAGGGCTTTGTCAAGCCGGGCCTTAAAAACCTCTAAGGATGGAGATTCCACCACCTCCCTAGGTAACCCAGTCCAGTGAAATAGTGTTTCCTAATATCCAACCTAGACCTCCACCAGTGCAACTTGAGACCATTGCTCCTTGTTCTGTCATCTGGTACCACTGAGAACAGCCAAACTCCATCCTCTTTGGAACCCCCTTTCAGGTAGTTGAAAGCAGCTATCAAATCCCCCCTCACTCTTCTCTTCTGCAGACTAAACAAGCCCAGTTCCCTCAGCCTCTCCTCGTAAGTCATGTGCCCTAGCCCCCTGATCAATTTCGTTGCCCTCGGCTGGACCTCTCTCCAACTTGTCCACATCCTTTCTGTAGCGGGGGGCCCTAAAACTGGATGCAGTACTCCAGATGTGGCCTCACCAGTGCCGAATAGAGGGGAATAATCACTTCCCTTGATCTGCTGGCAACGCTCCTACTAATGCAGCCCAATATGCCATTAGCCTTCTTGGCAACAAGGGCACACTGCTGACTCATACACAGCTTCTCATCCACTGTAATCCCCAGGTTTTTTTCTGCAGAACTGCTGCTTAGCCAGTTGGTCCCCAGCCTGTAGCTGTACATGGGATTCTTTCGTCCTAAGTGCAGGACTCTGCACTTGTCCTTGTTGAACCTCATCAGATTTCTTTTGGCCCAATCCTCCAATTTGTCTAGGTCACTCTGGACCCTATCCGTACCCTCCAGCATATCTACCTCTCCCCCCAGCTTAGTGTCATCTGCAAACTTGCTGAGGGTGCAATCCATCCTATCATCCAGATCATTAATAAAGATGTTGAACAGAACCAGCCCCAGGACCAACCCCTGGGGTACTCTGCTTGATACCGGCTGCCAACTAGACATCAAGCTGTTGATCACTACCTGGGGACCACCCAGGGATCACCTTTGTCAAACTAAGATACTGAAGGCCCCATCGAGCCATTTTTTATCATTCGCACATGAATACTAAACATATCTGACTTACTGTCGGTCTCTACATATTTAAATTTCTCCTGCAACCTACCTTGGGAATGGAGTAATTCTGCATCCCGATATCGAATGACTTCCTCTAAGGATGCTAATTCACTGTCGATTCCATCCATGTACTTAATCAAGAGCTACTCTTTGGGGTAGTGGATTTCCGTTTGTTGAGTGATCATTGCGTCTTTCCTTAATTTAATTAGCAGCCTTTTGATTCATAAACTTGCGAGACACAGCTGGGGCTTTTTGTATCTCCATTTTTGCCTTTACAGGGCACTTTATCCAACCACATTGATTTTATGCTGAGTGGAATCTGTGCATGCAGCGAAATGCTAGCACTTACCAATTGTCCACAATTTGTAAACTAATTGATAGATAAATGAGGCCAGCTCCTGCTATCTCTCAGTGTTATGAGCACCACATTGCCCTGGGATTTTATTTATTCAACCACGTTGCACTGGTGCAAAATATTAATGTGCTACCAGCCTGCTGAAGGAGAGAGTCTGAACATCAGTGTAACCAGAGAAGGCAATGAGGAGGAGGGCAGTCTGCTCCGTTCCTGTAGCACCTGTTACCTGAGGGTCTTAAAGTACTTTACAAATGTTAATTAAAACTCATCAGTCCATGTTTACAAACTTTAAAAACACAAGACGTTTCTTTAGTGTTGTGATGATAAAATCAGGGTTCCATTCTATCAAAAGAAGCACATTTTAAAATCCTCTATTTTATAGACAAGGAAACTTGAATTCAAGGCTCCAGTTCAGCAAAGCACTTAAGCATATGTTAAAATTTAAGCCTGCGCTTAAGCCCTTTACTGAATAAAGACAGGCTTTAAACACGTTTGCCCATTACCCGATTAAATTTTGTATGAATATGTTGCTAATGAAGGGAGCCAAGCTCTCAGCTGGGGTCAGCTAAGCCTACTGTATAGGCACAGGGCACTTGTAACATGAGATGCACCAACACAACCTTTCCCAACGGTGCGGCGGGACCTAGAGGCACAAGCTCTAAGGCTGAGAGGGAAGTTCAGTCTCCATTGCCCACTGAGTCCTTGGCCTCTCTCCCGTGACTGCCAACCACAGGTCTCGCGTATTGCCAGGTGTGGCAGTAGTTGCTGTGATGTGGACACCAGCCTACTGGGGAATAGAGCTGACACCCTTCCCACAGGCCACTAACAGCTACCAGCAGGGGCGGCTCCAGGCACCAGAGCAGCAAGCGCGTGCCTGGAGCAGCAAGCCGCGGGGGACGGCCTGCCGGTCCCTGTGAGGGCAGCAGTCAGTCTGCCTTTGGCGGCATGCCTGCGGGAGGTCCGCCGGCCCCGTGGATTCGGTGGCAATTCGGCGGCGGGTACGCCAAAGCCGCGGGACCGGCGGACCTCCCGCAGAAACGCCGCCGAATCGGCGTGACCAGTGGACCACCCGCAGGCGCGCCGCCGAAAGCCGCCTGACTGCTGTGCTTGGGGCAGCAAAACACATAGAGCCGCCCCTGCCACCAGATAGTATTCTGTATCAGGGACCTGGGCTGGATGATCTGGCAGCCTTGAAGTGAAAAGCCCTGTGTCCTTTTCCCATTCTCCTTAGCCATGCAGTTCCCTGCTCCTGGGCAGTTCTTTGGGTTATCCTGAATATTCCAGTTTCCAGTGTAACAGGCAATGGGCGTCTTATTGGTCTTTCTCAGACTGCCAGTTTTTAAAGGAAAATTTCCTAGCCATACAGAAGGAACTCTCTTGTGGTTTGTGTTAAATAATAACCAGGGCCCAGCTGAAAGTAATTGCAAAAATTAATCTTGGAGTAATACCTTGCAGCAACCTGTTAAACATATGCTGAGCATTATTGCTCCTTGCATTGTCCCTTTTTTTTCCAGCACTTCCTTTATTATCATTTCTTTTTCTCAGGCATCAAAACCTTCAAGTAAATAATTTCCTTTTGTTATTTGCGTTTTTTCCCCACCCCATAGCACAGCCACAAACTCAGTTAAATACAGTAATAAAATTGATTGGTACCTTAAAACAGAGTTCTGTTCCGACTCTGAGAGGGTTCATGCCTTAATGAGCTCATTAGGGGACTGATACGCTGCAGGATCTATGCTGTCAACTTAGTGATGCCCATTTTACCTGGAGAGGTGGAGCCTATCTGTAAATCTCCCATAATTTACATAGAATCATACAAGATAGAAATGGGGAAATCCTATTTGGTTGCCTAATTGCAGCCCTGGCATTTTGGCCGGGGGAGGTTATAAAATTTTTTTTTTAATGTCCCTAGCACCTGCTCTTCCCCCTTTCATTTGTTTAAGAGAATGACCTTTTGAAGGTAGAGTCTACACTCTGTTCAGGGTGCTACTTCTTGGAAGCTTCCTGAATTTTCAAAGACACCTTTTACCCTGTCTTGTAATGCTTGAACAAGGCAACATCCAAAACAATTAAAAGGTGACCCACTTAAAACTGATACAGGGATTTCTTTTTTTAACATAATGCACAGCTAGCCTGTGGAACTCCTTGCCACAATTTACTGATGCCAAGTGCTTGGTAGGGTTCATAAAGGGTTTATATATGTAGAAGAGTGACCACAATGAGAGAACATTACAGTAATTAGAATATAAAGCACACACCGGATAAGTAATTTTTCATGAATTTGGAGTTGTATAGCTAAAGTACACCCACTCAGGAGTTCTTAAATTTAAGCTTTATTAATCAAGAGAATTTTAAAGATAAAAACAGAGAAATTGCAGAAAGTAAAATAAAGGTGGTTTTATGGTGGTGCTTAAAAAGCTTAACAAAACGAATTCAACACAAAGTGCTTACTTTATCTAGAAATAATAATTCCCAAATTACAATAATTAAAATTCTTATCAGCCAGTGACAAATTAATTCTACCATTACTGTACTATTCTAGGAAGTTGATCTTGCTATCAGCATGGAACAGTGGATCCTTACAGGTCCGTATTAATTTGCCAGTCAAGTTTTAGCTCAGTTAAGTTCTGGGACTGTCCATGAAAGTTTAATTGAAAGCCACTCTGAATTTGGAAATTTAAACAATTGCTTAACTGCTGGCATGTCCATTCAGTTCTGAATTGCTTCTCTTTGCTGTATCCGAGGTTCAGATTTATAATCCACTGATAAACATCATGTTGTTTTTAATATTCAAACCATATTGTATTGGTGTTGTCATTAGATAAGATAAAAATTGGGTCAGAGAGAGAAGCCAACCATGAACTGCTTGAGAAGAAGTCTTCCCCTCTTGGCATGTTATTCCATATTTGTCCATTCTGAGGTTCCTTGTGCTTCCCTATGGACCATCCACTACCAACCATTTTCAGAGGCAGGATACTGCCCTAGCTGGATTGCTGGTCTAATCCAGTCTGTCAATTCCTTTGATACCTGTAAGCATATGCTGAGGTTTGAAAGCAATGGAGAAAACGGCACCGACTCAATGTGCTGACTCTCTACTATGAAGCAGGTAGTACCCAGGGATTGGAGATGGGATGCTGCCAGTTTGCAGATGAGTCATAAAGTGGTAATGTGGAAGCATTAGTGAAAAAATTTGGTTATATCCATTGATTGAAAACAAAAAAGTACCTGCTTTCTGCAGATTCTCTTAAAAGGAATAAGTAGCCTTCACTGATGCAAGCAGTATAAAAACTGGCATTGTTACAATAGAAACACTGATGTCAAAGAGGATATAGGACTGTAAACTCCCAGGGATGCCCAGATAACTCTTTCTGTCACTGATGGGAGATAGACCCTCCAACCACAATATTCTCGTTATTGGTTTGTGTGTATTATGGACAGAGCTGATAGTGCTGCATATAGTTAAGGTTGCCCAACACTTCCCATTATAAGACTCTGTTTTCTGTTGATTATAACTTTGCCAAATCCTAACCATCTGGAGTAAAGACTTGACATTTGGCAGGAAGGTTGCCCTGTTAGGAGTTTGCCTTTTGCTGTTTCTCTGTGGGGAAAAACACCCATATTTAGCTGAGTTATAAACCTTTGAAAAAAAAATCCTAGTTTGGACATGCTCAGTTGAGACTTGTTAGAATTTGGCAGCTGAATTGGGTTGTGAAGGCTGAGGTGAGTTTCCCTGCATATGCTACTCCCAGCTGCTCAGGGCGGCTGTGGCACCAGGCCTATGAACTGAGAATAAAGAGACTCTCTCTGCTGTGTCTCAATATTCCCTCAGGCATGATCTGATCCTGCCTTGATCCCAGCAGACAAAAGCAGTGACCTTCTTCTTTCCTTTCCTTCTCAAGAATCCAGCGGTGAGCTCCCTGAGCCCTAGCCGCGGCCCAGAGTCTGGAGGGACCATGGTGACCATCAGTGGCCACTACCTGGGTGCCGGCAGCAGCGTGTCTGTGTTCCTGGGAAACCAGACCTGCGAATTCTATGGGTAAGAAAGGGCAGAGCGTGTCTGTGGTATGATCCCTTCACCCCACCCTAGTGCAGCTTCTAAACTATTCCAGCTGCAAACTCCCGTCCTCTCATTAATCCCATGATGTCATCTTGTCCGTGAGAGCGGCTGAATCTGCCATTGCAATGAGTTAATTCGATGTATATTAATTTTATCCCCTTACGTGATTTGCATATTAAAATGATGTCCCCTCCAAAAATCCCAAACAAACATCACAGCAATTGTAGAATCCCTTTTAATAGTCCTCAAGCCAGTCCGTCCTGAGCAGCTGTAATCCCGCTCAAACATACTATCCATTCCATACGACAACAGCAGGCGCTGCATACATGACTGCATAGTGTACATGGAATATATATGCACTGGAACAGGACATGCTCTTCATATCTCTTGTACAGCACAGGTAGGATGTTCAGAAGTGCTCAGCATTAGCCTGACTAACCCCACTGGGAGAAGAGTCAGTCCAACGCTGAGTGCTTTTGAATATTCCACCCAGGGTGTAAAAGATTACAGGGTGAGAGACGGGGGAACGGAGGAAGAATCTGCTCTTTCAGGAAAATGTTCTGTTTGGGGTCATGAAATCAGGCCAACTGCCCACAAATGCCACCTGGTGAAGTAGCTCATCCGCTTAGAGGCTCCTCCAAGGCAGTGGGGACGTGTCCCTTCTGCGCCCACTGAGGGAGCAAAAGGGTTCATCTAGGGCAGTGCTCCACCTCCGGCTGTACCAGCAGAAAGCAAGGGTCTGTCTATTTATTATTATTATTATTTGTATTGTTCACCCAAAGGTCAGGGTCAGGGCCCCATTGTGCAATCACACATAGGAAGGAACAGTCCCTGCCCCATAGAGTTTAGATATAAACTCTAATCCAATATCCTACTTCCTGCCAGGCCAGATTAGAACAAGGGGCAGTATAGTCCAATAACCCACCTCTTTCCATATTGGACAGCACATCTCAGAGAGATTGTGGCTGAGTGTTTAGAATGGTGCTTTTTATCAGGACTGTTGACATCTGTTCCCAGTTCTGCTGATTCGTCCTGGCCTTGGGAGAGTCACCTTCTCTGTGCCTCAGTTTCCCCATCTCTATAATGGGTAACACTATTGCTTATCTAGAGTACCACACTTCATGGGGTCAGAGCCGGCTCTAGGTTTTTTGCCGCCCCAAGCGGCTCTCCCTCCCACCCACACCCCCTGCCGCCCCAATTCTGGGCTCTTTCCCCCCCCACCCCACCCGTACCCCCTGCCACCCCAACTCTGGGTTCTTCCCCCCCACCCCATCCGTACCCCCTGCCACCCCAACTCTGGGCTCTCCCCCCCACCCCACCTGCACTCCTGCCGCTCCAGCGCTGGGCTTCCCCCTCGCCTCCAGCCGATCCAGCACTGGCAGGGTCAGGGTAAGCAGCGGGGCTCCCGGGCCGCGCCTCAGCCCAGGGTCCCTCCAGCCGGGGCTCCCACCTCCAGGACCGGCCGGGACCAGGGAGGACTGAGCCGGGGGACCGCCCCGGCAGGGGGCTGAGGAACCGGGACAGGGAATCCCCAGAGGGAGCGGAGCCCCGGAGAGCGGGACGCGGGCCCCACACGGCAGCGCCCCGCCCTCTATGGCCCCACTCCTGCTGCTGCTCCTGGCCTCTCTGCCGCAGTCCTTGGGCGGCTCTGGCCGCTTTGCCCAGCCCCGGCTGCAGCGCTGGGGGGGCGGCCGCCCTGCGGCACCTGCAGGTGGCTCCGTGTGCCCCGAGGGGCAGCCCCCAGCCCGAGTGTCCCACACTCAGAGCCCACCCGGCCATAAGGTGCGGGTGCTGCTCCCCGACACGAACCGCAGCGGCCTCAGGGCGCCCCCGGTGCAGGACGCGCTGCTGCTGCCAGGGCTGGCTCTAGGCTTTTGCCGTCCAAGCGCAAAAAAAAAAAAAAAGAGGCTGGCTGGAATGCCGCCCCTGAAAATGTGCCGCCCCAAGCACCTGCTTGGTTTGCTGGTGCTTGGAGCCGGCCCTGCATGGGGTATAAAACACTTTGAGATCATCCTGTGTAAGTGAGCTCCTCCCTAAGGGTCAAACATGATCATTTATTTATCATCAGTTCCTCTTCTACCCAACCATAGGGCCAGATTGCATCCTCAGATGCACACGCTGCATTTGAAATCAGAGGAACTGGCATGTGTGCATTCAAGGGCAGAATTAGCCTCATACTCTAATCCCTTAACTATATGATTATTTTCAGGCCACCTGCAGATACTGACCTGCAAAATCCTGCCATGCTTTAAATTATCTGCATGTTCTAATTACATCAGACAAGCAGCAACTTAAACACAGCAAACAGCAGTATATAAATTACACCATCTTGCCATGCAGTGGCACACTGTGGTCCGTATTGTCCTTGGCCTGCTTTGTGGCAATGAACTCGAATTGTTGTAGAGGTGAGGGAGAGCCTGATTAGATGAAGCAGTTTCTAATGAGATTCCCTCTAATTACAGCTTCCGCCATTCTCCTGTCTCTTGGAAGAGTGGGTAGATTCACCATGACGACATAATAATAGCACAGAAAGCTAATTAACTGATCACAGGGAGCTCAGAGTGACTCTGCCAGCAGTGATGCGTCACTTTGAATCTCATGGAAGGACTAAGCAGGGCTCTGTGAATTCTGATCTCCGGCACACTTGAGCGTCTGCACCAATGCAAGGCCACTGGGATGAGGGGATGTGGGAGATAAAAGGCAGCTGAAAGAGCAGTGAGCGCTTTCTGAACAATGCTGGCTGTGTGACTATCTGGGGTGCCATTCCCAGAATGTGAGAGATGAGTGGAGGAAAGGAATGAAAAGCGGGCTCCTTTTCACAGAATCAAGTTGTCGCAACGACGTTTGGCAAAGAATTATTGCTCTTGCCCACCACTCCCCACACAGGCCCTGCAAGTCATTCCCTCCCACACACACAGTGAAGAATGTATTCTCTGTTAAAATAGATCAGGTTGGAAGAGTGAGGAGATGGGAGGAAAGGGTTAAAAGGAAGATGGAAGAGACAGTGGGAGACAAGGTTCCAAACCAAATTTAATCCAAATGATTTAAAGTCTTTTTTTCAAGTAGCTCTGTTGTGATTGGCACTAAGTGTCTCCTTCTCCTTGTTGCCATTCCCAGCAGTCAGGCCCAGGACTAAATGGGCCATAGAGCCTGCCTTGTCCTCTCCTCTCTCCAGGTCAGAGTTGAGACACAAATTTGTCCTACCACTACCAGTGCCATCTGTGGATAAATATAGGACTCGATCTCCAGGGCTGTCAGTCTGGCATCTTTCATGCCAACACTAACTTCACTATACACTTAGGGCTAGTCTACACTACCCGCCCGGATCGGCGGGTAGAAATCGATCTCTCAGAAATTGATTTATCGCGTCTCATCTAGACGGATAAATCGATCCCCGAATCGACGCGCATACTCCCACCTCTTCAGGAGGAGTAAGCGTCGTCGACGGGGGAGCCACGACGGTCGATTTGCCGCCGTCCTCACAGCGGGGTAAGTCGAATAGGATACGCCGAATTCAGCTACGCTATTCGCGTAGCTGAATTTGCATATCTTAAATCGACCCCCTCCCTTAGTGTGGACCTAGCCTCTTAAACTACACAAGTGTTATTAGACCCGTCTCAGAAATGAACGAATTGAGACACAGAGATGCTAAGTGACTTGCCCAAAGTCACAGAGTGAATCAGTAGCAGAGTTGAGAGACGAACTCAAGGTGTCCTGACTCTCATTCCCCTACTTTCACCACGAACTGATCCCTTTCTGTTTAAGCATGTTGCTAAGCAGCGCACGTAGCAGTTCTTTGGGGCTCTTAGAGAAGCAGATGGTCTGGTCTGTCCAACCACCAGGCATCAAGTCCTGAGGTTCATTCCCAGTTCCACATGGAGGACAGGAAAACAAAGCTGCAAAGAGAGTAGTGATATTCTAGTTCTGCCCGGCCCTTCTCAGGTTGAGACTGGCTGCTTTTCAAGGTCCATGTGTGCCATGCAGGGGGGGAGGATTTGGCTTTTGAATAAGCATACAAATCTCACTTGGAAAACAGCCATCTGCTTTCACATGCCCAGCAGAAGGCAGCAGGTTCACAGAGGGATGTGGGAGGCTGCCGCTTGGCACAAAGAGTAATTTCAGGGAGTCTGACTTTCTCTTTGGATAGTCAGGAGGGGTCTCCACTTGCATGGAGCCTTCATTGCTCCTCTGTGATGTTAATGAATTCTCAGTGTCCGGAGCACCTGCTTCCCCACTTGGAAAGCACATTATTCACTTCCTGTCCTAAACTGGTGGGCAGCATTGCTATTGGGCTATTAACAGCTGCCACATCCCACCCCAGAAACGGCTGCATTTGTGGTAGGAGTCATGATTGCAGTGGATGTAGAGCCTTCCTGTGGAGGAGCGGCACTATGGAAACGTAAGAGGGTTCCCATTCCTGTAGCACGGATACTCTCTGGCTAACGGCTCTCTGGTTTCTTTTTCACAGGAGGTCCATGAATGAGATTGTGTGTGTCTCTGCTCCGTCAGCACATGGCTTGGGCCCTATCCATGTCTCTGTCAGTGTGGACCGGGCGCAGTTAGAGAGCACTCTGGAATTTGAATACATTGATGACCCCAGAGTGCAGCGCATCGAACCTGAGTGGAGCATAGCCAGGTAACAAGAGTCTCACAGCTTCTTCACATCTCCTTCCCCAGTGGGAGCGAATGCATGGCACAGAAGCTAACTCACCTGATATAATAGAACTAGAGACGTGCAAGCTGGTTGGATTCTATGGGAACTGGTCTAGGCCTTCACCCTGGACTCAATGGAATACCTTAAACAACACTCCCCTTTATTTTTCATTCCCTCTTCCCCATATTCCACCCAGAGGCAGGCAATGTTGAAATACCATGCAGGAGGCCTTTCCTACCAGGGTCCTGGTTCACCTGGAAGCAGGAAGTGTAGCGAAGGACTACCCCGCCCCCCATGCAGTTGCCAGCCTATTCCTGCAGACACCAGCTGTTTGGATAAGTTTGCAAACATGGAAGTGATCCCCAAGCCAAATATACCCCATAATCTGTGCAAGCTGCAATCCAGTGTTCTAGTTGGGATCCATCTCTAGTACTTACCTGAATTCAGATGTGCTCATGTACAGCAAAAAAATATAAAGGGGAGGAACCTTATCTTTTGCAAACCCGTTCTGATTGCATTTTAGGCAGCGGCATTGTTTTGTCCTTTATCTGACCTGCTTTGCCCTCCATCCCTGTTCGGAATCATACTGGAAACTCTCATGCCATGGGATCCACACTAACTTGAAAAATTATTATGCTCCTTCCTGGCCCCTCATCTACTAGAAAACATGGTTCAGGGCTCAGAGTCCTAGAACCTGCCCCCCTGGGGAGAATACTTTTTGAATTCTCTTCGCTTGTTTGGCTGCCTTTGTCAACATCCAGCTGGAGTCAGGTGACCCAGGGGTTATTTTACCTGTGTCAATATTGAAGACATTGCTATTTAGGGCTTGATCCTGTAAGGAGCTGAGCACCCTCCCCTCTCTTGAAAGTCACTGGGTGTTAGAGATGTTCAGCTGCAGGGTGAGGGCTAGAAGCTGCATCCTTGTACGGTGGCTGCAGAGGCTCAGAAAACACTTTTAAAAACACCTTGGGGTACGTCTACACTGCATTGTAAGTCCAGTGTTAGTAGTCCTCAAGTTAACCTAGGGCTTGAGCATCTCCACTCATTTGTAACCCCAGGTTAGGAACTGTTGAACCCTGGGTCCAAACCTGGGGCACTGGCATCTACAACTGCATTATGCAGGCCTGAGTCCAACCACCCATATCCAGACTTCCTCTCGCCCTCCCAAAATGTGGATGCTCTAGCCCTTTGTTTGTGGCTCAGTGCAGGAAAACTTGACTGTCCTCCAAACTTGACTGTCCAGAGGACAAAGAAAGTCAGCCCGTGGGACTGTGGGATATTTTTGGTGGACTCCCACAGCATGAGTCAAGTGGGACTGCATGTACACCGAAAAGCAACAGGCTTGAACCCTGGGTCCCAGCTTGACTCAGGCTCAGACCCTCTATCCCCTTGGGACCCAGGGTCCAATCCGTGGGTTAGTGCGATGTGTGTGTAAATGGAAGGGGGATTAGGCATGAGCCTGAGTTTGAACCATGGGCTTACATTGCAGTGTAGACATGCCTTCAGTCTCCTCTCTCAGGATATACCAGGTAAGGACAAAAGAGAGCCTATTTGGAATACCATGTCTCCCACGCAGGGTCCTGAATCAGTCCTTGCCAAACATCTACAACATCCACATTTCCTGAGATGGAAAATCAGGTCCAGAGTTATTAAACCAATTGTAATTACCAAGGCAATCACAACAGTCTCAATCTGTGCAGCGATTCTGGGAGAGCAAATAAAGCCCCAAGATCACTCCCATCTGCTGACAAAGTGCACAATTGCTCATTAAAGTCTCCTTCTTGTAGCTCTGGAGAGTCTGGAATGAAACAAAAAACAGCAGCAACCAACCAAAAAAAAAAAGCTGATGCTAATCAAAATGCTCTGCTTATCCAAGATTCACTGCTAGGGACAGGATGGCAGGTGCTGCAGCATCACTCTGACGTGTGGAGTGTTAAAAAGCTAGGCCAAATTCATCCCCGGTGTAACGCCATGAATCTGCACAAAGGATGAAACAGGGCCATTAATTTCACATTCCGTTATTTAAAAAAAAAAAAATGGCCAGTGGGAGAAATAAGTGTCTCCTCTGGAAAAAGACCAAGGCGGGTTAAAAGTAATGTCCTCCCTGCAGCCTGAAATCAAGGGTGAGTTGGTGTCTTGCGTGAGAGGGGTTATGTGGGCTCATTTGAATCACTGGTAGAGATGCTAAAAGAGACATAGCTGGGATTTCCTTTAGAAAGGTGGGGGTGCTGGGCTACTGGAGGTGCTCTCCAGCAAATAAAGCAGAAGGAAAACCAAAGAATAAAAGATCCCATGGTGCTTTTTGCAAAAGTTTGGAGATATTAGCACCAGAATCATGGCCATATTCTAACCTGGCTCATGACATTCTGCTTCCCTACATTCCCATGTGGCTAACCAGACAGGTTATTTGTCATCCCTGTCCTGCCAAGCCTCTGCTACATGTGGTATGTGGTGTCTGTGCTGTGCCTGACCCCAGAGGTGGCTGCGATCTGGAAGTGGGAGAAATAACAATCCCTTCATAGCCCATGCCATTCATCGTGCAGCACCCTGTTACTTAGAAGGCTCACTGTATAAATCGTTAAACACTGTGACTAATCTACTGTCTGTCTTTATTTGGTCCCGATTGTTTATTTTTTCATCCTGCTGCTTTTGTTTGTGCCGAGCCTTGAAGTGTTATGTAGGAGGTGACTCTCCACTGGGGGACAGTCAAGACCAGTATCAGGGGGGTAGCCGTGTTAGTCTGAATCTGTAAAAAGCAACAGAGGGTCCTGTGGCACCTTTAAGACTAACAGAAGTATTGGGAGCATAAGCTTTCGTGGGTAAGAACCTCACTTCTTCAGATGCGAGAAGTGAGGTTCCTACCCACAAAAGCTTATGCTCCCAATACTTCTGTTAGTCTTAAAGGTGCCACAGGACCCTCTGTTGCTTAGTCAAGACCAGAAAATCCAATTAATTTGAGAGACATCCCTCCCCAGAGACAGAGCGATAGTGTATTAATCCACTGTGTCACCTAGTTCCTGTAGAGTCCACAGAAAATCTTTCTGAGATCAACAAGCCTCTGTGTTGTTGGAGCACAGTCGCTATACGCTGGTGCCGCTCTCCCTGCCAAACCTCATTAATCTGGTGTTCATGCTTCTCTATAGCGGACACACGCCTCTGACAGTCACGGGGTCCAACCTGGATGTGATTCAGGAGCCAAGGATCCGTGTGAAGTACAATGGCAAGGAGTCTGTCAATGTAAGTAGATGTCATCAAAGTGCAGTTGGCTTCCCCTTTAGCCCTCTTGAGATAAGTAGCCCCACCTTTACCTCTTAGTAACTGTTGAAACCAATGGGATGTTAGTAGCTTGGGCAACAGCGCAGGTGCATTCTGCCTCGACCAGTCCAGCCTGCTCAGCCGTCCATGTGTTTTCTGTTCGGATACATTCAGTGGCACAGCTGCTGCATCCCATTTGGAAGCACCTGGAACATATGTGCATCTTACATTTTTATATAGCTTATTGTGAATTCTTTTCAGAACCACCCACCGTCAATCAAATCCATCCTCCGTTTTTGAGAAACACCATGTACGTTGGCAGCACTATATAAATGCTGGGTAACAGGAAGAATCGTATTGGTTAATGCTCGTCAAATCTAATTTTCTAATTAAATATAAGCACCTCAAACTCAGAAAGGCCTCTTAGGTGTTTTCAAGCATCTGCCATTTATAACTGTCCCAGCTGAATTGTTTGCTTGTTTTGTTTAACTGGATTTCTAAAAGGAGCTGTGATCAGAGATTGAGATACTGTGTACTGGGGCATCTGAGCGATGAACTCATTTGCACAGGGAAGGTAGAAATGCCTGAGAGAGTGAATTGTAAAGCGTAAGTGCTGATGGAGCCTTTGTCCCAGTGCTGCTAGAATAAAGAGAGTGGTCAGGACTGGTTATTAATTGATACGGCTTTTCGTTTGTCATTAGGGGAGGGCGCCTGTGTTCAGGTCAACTTTACCCTCCCGTGTTTGTTGTGTTTACCAGCTGGGGACCCCAGGTGCTAGCACTGACTTAACCCTTTAGTGGAGTTCCCCATCTGGCAAACAGGCTGGCTGAATGCGTGCAAATCTGGCCTGCTGCCACAGCCACACCCCCAGCGTAGACCCTCATGGCCCCTAGGCAGCAGCTCCTGAAGAGAGGAAGCTGTCTTTCATGGCCTGGCTTGGATTTTTTTGCACCTGACTGCTTACTCCCTAGGTCAGCAATGGGCCTGGGAGTTGTGCAGTTGGTGCCTTCAGCCCCGTGCTACTGAATGGCCCTATGAGGAGCAAGGTGGACCGGCTCCAAATGGGCATTGTTGGTGAGATTGCTGAGGAAGAGTTAGTATTTCAAGCCGTGGAGGCCCATAGTGACGGGAAGCAGCAGGGAGTCGGGGATCGTTGAGACACATGGCGCTTGTGTCATTGTGAGGCCCAGCTATATATCATCCGAGAGGCACAAAAACCAACAGCAGGGGAGGGCGCCGAGTATACAGAGTGAGTTTGACACACAGACAATGGGCAATGACTTCTGCAGTGACCCAGGGGTGGCTGTGCGGTACAGGGGCTGCCCTGGGCCAGCACAGAACTGCCAGGAAGTCTCAGAAGCTAGACATGGAAGAGCCCTATTAGGTCATCTGGTCCATCTCCTCAAGATCAATGTCTAATCCTTCCCCTGGGCCTTGCACATTCATTTTCTTTTGGAAATCGCCCTCGGTTTTTCCATGCTCTCAGGAGCCCCGTACACAAGCCTGAGAGCCCTTCTTCCTCCCAGCAGGCAGCAGCCATGGGGGCTCATCAGGACTCATCTCTGCAGGCATGTTTCAGGGGGGAGACAGAACAGATATCAATTCCCAGCTGCTCTGCAGAGGCTCAGTTTGCCTTGCTCCTTTTGTGCAGGCCCACAGCTAGGTTTGCAATGAGAAATTGCCAGCTTGGGGTTTGTTGTTGTTTTTTTTAGTAGTCCCTCTGTATCAGTCGCGCCATAAATACAGCTCCTATCATAGCAGCTCTGGGCCCAGCAAGCACTCAACGGAGCCGGGGGGGAAGGAGGGAATCCGCCACTGAACAAAAAGCTTTCAAGCTGCTTTTTCCCTCTTGCTGCAATGATCAAGTCACGAGATAAGTTGAGAGGCTGCTTCCCTGCTAAGATGCCCTCCATCGTATGAAATGAAAGATTTTCATTCCAGTCACATGGGATGGTTCAAGGGGAAAAGACTGCTGGGGACAAAGGAAGGCAGGGAGCTGTACCACGCAGGTCACACCAACCAGATGTTCAAGAACAACCAGGCTTGCTGGTAATGGGGTGTTCATACCACTGCAGTAGGTGTCTCTAACAGCACTTGCTTTTAGTGGCTACATTGATCCCAGTTTTGCAGCATGACACAGAAATGCACATGTGGCCCCTGTGCCTGCAAAGCCCCAGATGCTCACATGCGGAAGGGAGCTGGTGTGCAGAAAGTAAGGTACCCCTTGCGTGAGCTGGACTGTGGCTCTTTAGGGACTTGTGTGCATGGGGCTGTGTGTGTTTCCTCAGCCTTATTTTTATGCCTCTCTCCTAGTTAGCTCTAACTGAGCCCCTTATTTAAACCATTTGTCCCACACTTCATAAACCACCATGGAAAGTTAAAAAGTGAATAAATAGAACTGTAATCTTTTTTTTTTCTTTGGGCCCAGACTGTGTAAATTGCATTCTTCCCGGGCGCACTCAGCAGAACAGCTGGCAGCATACCCAGGCCACTGCACGGGTGCCAAGTGCGCAGTGCTGCTCTTTAGCTAGACCCTTTCATGCCCTTCTTTTGCCTTAAAAACCGGTAAAATCTCCACCCTTCAGCCTACTGCATACGGACGCAGGTTAGTATCTGGCTGAGCGGCTGATGCCCTTTATCCTCTCTTGACCTCCCTGAGAGCAAATTGAGCTGAGCTTTCGTCCCTAAGAACTGGCAAGGGGAAGCACAGATTGAACTCTTACTTTGCTTCTGCGAAGGAGTAGTCCCAGGCTGTCACATTTGCAAATACCCGTTTTTCTAGTTCTCTGGCTGAACTGAAAAAGTTGAAAATATTTTGTTTCGGGTTGAACAAAACATTTCTGCATTTTTTGGCAGCTAGAAATGTTGTCCAAATAATGTCACCAAATAAAGTCTGGAAACAGCCTTTGTGCTGCCATGACGCCAAACACAGCGACTGGACGTTAACTAATGATGGTTATCATTCATCTTGTCCTGTTTTATCTGTTTGAGCTGTTGTGCATTTGGATGTTTTATGAGCTTGAATGAGGCGCCCAGAATGCTGTAAAAATCCAGTTTATTATTATTATTTAGTGACTTTCAAGAGCCATTCTGCATGGAAACAGTTTTGCTTTCACTCTGAAGCAAAATGACTTTTTAGATCTGCTCAGCACAGAGAAGCTCCCGGGTCAGACTTGATAGACTGATTTTAAGAAGGGAGGTGTTTCAGATTTTGTGGGGAGAGTGGAAGGAATATCGAATGTAGGGAAGTGAACAGGCCCAGCTTGCTGAGCTGTTCTGTGAATGGTTCAGGAGTCTTTTGAATTCCACCATGTTGGGGAGGAAATGGCTCTCTGCTAAAAGGATAGAAGTGGGGTTAGTGGAATTGGTATAAGACTAAGCAGTAGAGCAGTGGTTCTCAATCCGCGAGAACCATTAAAAGAAACTCTACGTCCCCGAACTTGCACCTAAATCTCAAGATCCCTGTGAGGTGAGGAAGTATCCTCCCCATTTTACAGATGGAGAGCCGAGGCACAGCGTACATGAGGTGAATCTCTCAAGGACACACAGGGGGTCTGTGGCAGAGCTGGGGACTGAATCTAGATCTCTTGAGACAGTCCAGTGCTCTGTCCTTGCTGATGCTGCAGAAATAACACTTAATTTAGCTCTTTCTACTCCAGGAAGCTGAGCTGAAGCAAACCTCGGTTTGCCGGTGTCTAGGTAGTGTCCATGCACCAGGGCCGGCTCCAGGCACCAGCTTAACAAGCAGGTGCTTGGGGCGGCCAAGGGAGAGGGGCGGCACCTGCGGCAATTCGGGGGCAGCAGGTCCCTCACTCCCTCTAGGAGCGAAGGACCTGCCGCTGAACTGCCGCCACCGATCGCGGCTTTTTTTTTTGCTTGGGGCAGCAGAAATGCTGGAGCCGGCCCTGCCAGGCACGCTGTAATGGGATGTATGCTCACTTTAACATTCATCACCAATTGAACCTGAGAATACTCTTTCCGTGTTGCAAAAAGACTGAACTTGTTGAGTGCTATCCTGGGAAGGGTTATTTACTTAGCAGTCATGCCTTTTCCCTTTCCCCCGTGCTCAGGTCTGAGCTCTGCTTTTTATTATTATTATTACAAAGATAATTCTAAATACACAAATCTGAGTGGAATTAAATCTTCTGTTTGTGGAGGGAGGCCAAATTAAACATCCCCTGAAGCTTTATAGGGCCTGGTTTCTAAATAAATTAGCAGAGAAAGCTATGCTCTGCCTCCAAACAAACTCTTCCCCATACGGAAAGGGGGAGCAACGGGCATCCTCAGCCCAGCAGGAGTCGACCTTCATTTTACCTAGAATCCTTCAGTATCAGTTGATTATTCTTCTGTCCCTTTGGTATTAAAAGATTGTCTCTGATCACAAATGTGTAGCCAAGACCAGACATTAATTATGGGTCCAGTTCAAAGGCGTGTTTGGCAAATACAGAGCAGCAGAAGAGAGAAAAGTACTTAGCAATCTGGTTTGTGATTCTTTAGTTGCTTAAGCCATTTTCAGTTTAAAGCTCTATCTCCAGCTCCACTCTTGTGTCCTTGTGCTGGTTTAGAGGACACACAAACTCTCCCAAAAACGAGACTTTAATGATTCAAGCTTAAGCAAATGATTCTGGCTAAATACCAATCCATCAGAATCTGCAGAGGCAATTTAGAGAGGCAGAATGCAATTAGCCAAGTCAGAATTTAGCTAGCATACAAGGGTCCCTGTAACTTAGTGCCATTAGAAACCAGGAGAGATTAGAACTCTGCTTTTTGTATTATTCCTGTAACCCTCCCTAGTGCTGTGCTGGTAATTCAGTACTAATTTGGAAGGAAGACTGCAAAATTCTGTAGAACCCACATAACTGGTTACAGCCTTTGGGCATTCCTGTCCTCTTCAAGTACTGGCCAGGCTCAATAGAATGTGAGGACAAATAACATGACAGCCTCAGGTGCTAGGGATGCAGACTATCCCTCAACTTGCTCCTCCCAAAATCTCCTGGCCGGCTTTCAGCCATTAAGGGTAACTTTTATAGGCAAATATTTCAAATAAGGTTTCCTTCAGAAAATGCTGACATCCCCTTGACTGTATTATGTCAACCTGTGTGTGTGAGGGAGAGAGAGAGACATGATTTGACTTCCATAAGCACCACTTTTGCCTCTTATTGTCTGTTTTTCCTGCTACAGCCCTTCACTTCCACCCACCCACGACATGTCAGTAACACCCACTCACACTTACTTATACGGTCTCCCACAGTATTCTTGCCGCCAAGTTAAAGAAGTATAGGCTGGATAAATGGACTGTAAGGTGGATAGAAAGCTGGCTAGATCATCGGGCTCAACGGGTAGTGATCAATGGCTCCATGTCTAGTTGGCAGCTGGTTTCAAACGGAGTGCCCCAAGGGTCGGTCCTGGGGCCGGTTTTGTTTAATATCTTTATTAATGATCTGGAGGATGGTGTGGACTGCACTCTCAGCAAGTTTGCAGATGACACTAAACTGGGAGGCGTGGTAGATACGCTGGAGGGTAGGGATCAGATACAGAGGGACCTATACAAATTGGAGGATTGGGCCAAAAGAAACCTGATGAGGTTCAACAAGGACAAGTGCAGAGTCCTGCACTTAGGACGGAAGAATCCTATGCACTGCTACAGACTAGGGACCGAATGGCTAGGTAGCAGTTCTGCAGAAAAGGACCTGGGGGTCACAGTGGACGAGAAGCTGGATATGAGTCAACAGTGTGCTCTTGTTGCCAAGAAGGCTAATGGCATTTTGGGCTGTATAAGTAGGGGCATTGCCAGCAGATCGAGGGACGTGATTGTTCCCCTTTATGCGACATTGGTGAGGCCTCATCTGGAGTACTGTGTCCAGTTTTGGGCCCCACACTACAAGAAGGATGTGGAAATATTGGAAAGAGTCCAGCGGAGGGCAACAAAAATGTTTAGGGGTCTGGAGCACATGACTTATGAGGAGAGGCTGAGGGAACTGGGATTGTTTAGTCTCCAGAAGAGAAGAATGAGGGGGGATTTGATAGCTGCTTTCAACTATCTGAAGGGGGGTTCCAAAGAGGATGGAGCTCGGCTGTTCTCAGTGGTGGCAGATGACAGAACAAGGAGCAATGGTCTCAAGTTGCAGTGGGGGAGGTCTAGGTTGGATATTAGGAAACACTATGTCACTAGGAGGGTGGTGAAGCACTGGAATGCTTTACCTAGGGAGGTGGTGGAATCTCCTTCCTTGGAGGTTTTTAAGGCCCGGCTTGACAAAGCCCTGGCTGGGATGATTTAGTTGGGAATTGGTCCTGCTTTGAGCAGGGGGTTGGACTAGATGACCTCCTGAGGTCCCTTCCAACCCTGATATTCTATGATTCTATGATACTAGTGTAGGCTCCTCTGAATTTGGTCCTCAGTCCCTAACTCATTGCATTGTAAAGTTTAAAAAGATACCTGGTGTTCACAGGCTCAGCATAAAGGCAAATTCTATTCTGCTCTCCTCTTTCCTACTCGCCAAGTTGCAGAGGGAGAGACATAAGATAAACAAATGCAGCTGAAACCCCTTTCACAGCTGCTGAGTGCCATGCTTTTAAAAGCAATGACTGCAGCCAGGTTCAGATCAGCACAAAAGAGAGTGCCTGCAAGAGGTTTTATTAACCTCTTGCAACTCTGTGTGTGTGTGTGTGTGTGTATGTGTGTATGTGTGTGAGTTGCACTGATTAGCTTTGGTAACACTTTCACATTATTGCCAGTGGGTTAGTAGAACTATGGTCCTTCCTGTGTAATACCCCTCTGGACCCTTCTCAGTTTCCCATATGCTGTCCCTCTAACCCCATGTCTCTGACCTGCCCTGGAAATACCAGCTCTAAACTGAGAAGAAAATTCACCTCCCATACCCTGTGCTGAGGCCAGCAACTGTAATGGTAGCTTTTATGCTGTGGGCACCTGTCCCACTAGGAATAGGACTGCAGCTATTTCAGATAGAGGCCAGTAAACAAGTCTGATGACAATGGCCTGTTTCATCTGGGATAGATTTGGAGTCTTAGGTATCTTCCAGTCTGAAAGGGCCATATTCAGCTCTGGTGTAAGGGTTTTAAAAGACAATTAGCAACCATACAGTAGACAAAGCCTAAATGAGTGTAACTGCATAGAAGTCAGTTAATTTGCCACTGGGTGTTATGTCTGGGCAAAGATCAGACATTAAAAGAGATTTCTCATTCAAAATGTTAATCTTCCTCTCTTGTTTCCCTTTCCGGTCCAGGTCTGTAAGATTGTGAACACAACTACCCTGACTTGCTTAGCTCCACCCCTCACTCCTGAGTACCGACCTGGCTTGGATGCTGTCGAGCGACCGGACGAATTTGGCTTTGTCTTTAACAACGTGCAATCCCTGCTGATCTATAATGACACTAAGTTTATTTACTACCCAAACCCAACATTTGAGCTTCTGAGCCCTACTGGGGTTTTGGATCAGAAGCCGGGATCGCCCATCATCCTCAAGGTACGAATGCCGGAGATGTTAGTTCCAGTAGTTTGCACAGTCCAGCTGCTCTCTCTTTAGTTCAGAAAGCTGCATACGCTGGAATGGGAAACGAATGGCATGGGAAAGAGTGAAGTCTAAGCCCCAGGAGCAGGGCTGTGGATCAAGACCTTGTTACAGAGTTGCTGGTCAGCTGGCAAACTCCGTGAGGAGAGGGGAAGGTTTGAAATACACAGGATCCCTGATGTCACAGGTTGACTCAGCCCTTCACCCTTCCCAAGTTAGGTAAATGCGCTTTACTCTGAGGGTCTTTCAGATGAGACCTTAAAAACTGCCAGCTCTGCATGAATTTTAAAGACCCGTGCAGGGCTTTTTGTGTGAGCAGGGATTTGCTCTAGTGTTATAGAGCAAACTTTCCCTCCTTTTCCCTGTTGTGCAGCACCCTCCAGATGTGGCACTATTTATGTGGTGCTGCATAAGCACCTTGGTATGAAAGATATTGTAGCAACGTCAAGTATTTCTTGATTGAGTTTGGTGCCATTAGTTTATGACCTTCTAAGTGAAGAAGGAAGAGGAGGTAAAAACTCCTTACCTTATACAGTGTGAGGAAAATCCCCGAGCCCAGGGGAACTTTCTCTGGGTAATTCAATTGCCCATATTCTTAGGCCTTGTCTACACTAGAAAAAGGTTTGTGGTATAGCTGTATTGGCACACCCTCCTAATGTAGACGCAGGAGTGCTTTTGCAGGTATAGCTTATGAAATAAGCTATATGGGCAAAAGTACTTTTTTGCTGGTATAACTGCGTTTTCACTGGGGCTTTTTCCAGAATAGTAGTGTTGTAAAAAATCATGCCCCTACTGTACCACGTAAAGTTTTATTAGCTTGAGGCTCTCACAAATCTGAGGCCTTGTCTACATTTAAAAGTTTTGTTGCTTTAACTGTGCCAGCATAGTTAAAGTGACGCGCAAAAACCCTCCCAAAAAGTGTGGACACCATTATACCAGTATATAAGTGGTTATATCTGTATAGCTTATTCTGGTTTAGCAAAGAAAATTAGCCGTACCATCTTACACAGGTATAACGGTGTCTACATTATAGCTTTTTATTGGTTTTAAAAAAAAAAAATCACATCTCTATCTGATATAATTGTATCAATTGAAGGTACACACCGGTCCTGAGATACATCAGTACAACAAGCTTAGGCTATGTCTACACTGGCACTTTCGTCACTAAAACTTTTGTTGCGCAGGGATGTGAAAAAACACCCCCCTGAATGACAAACGTGTTAGCGACGAAAAGCACCGGTGTTAGCGGGAGCCACGCTCCCGGCGATGAAGCTACCGCCCCTCATTGGAGGTGGTTTTAATTTTGTTGCCAGGAGAGCTCTCACCCAGCGATAAAGAGCAGCCACACAGCACACCTTACAACGGTGCAGCTGCAGCAGCACAGCCGCACCGTTGTAAGGTGTGCAGTGTAGACATAGCCTTGGGGCTTGTCTACACTTACATTTTATAGCACTCTAACTTGCTGGCTCAGGGGTGTGAAAAATCACCCCCCTGAGCGCAGCAACTGTGAGCGCTTTAAAGCGCTAGTGTAGGCAGGCTCTGAGCGCTGGGAGCTAATCCCCTCGTGGAGGTGGATTACCAGGAGCGCTGGAAGAGCGCTCTCCCAGTATTTGTGCACGACCACACTCACACTTCAAAGCGCTGCTGCGGGAGCGTTCCCGCAGCAGCGCTTTGAAGTTTCTAGTGTAGACATACCCTTAGACGCAGTAATACCCCTTTAAGCCTGTCTTCTCCACCCTCCATTATTGGGACCTAGGGTGTAAATGATATAGAAATGTTCTGCCAGCTGGAGAGAGAAGCCAGTGGAAATTGGAAAGGGATGACACCCAGGCTTTCCTTTCAAAGCACATGCAAGCTATGACTGAGGATAAAGGGCAGATGTGTAATGGCCAAGGAACATGCTGAATCTTTATACAGTCTTCTCTACCTTTGTCAATAGGGCAAAAATCTGTGCCCACCAGCTTCCGGAGGAGCAAAGCTAAACTACACTGTCCTGATTGGAGATACCCCCTGTGCTGTCACTGTGTCTGAGACCCAACTGCTGTGTGAGCCCCCCAACCTCACCGGGCAGCACAAAGTTATGGTGAGGTCAAAACACACCATCTAGCTACCTTATATACCTGTGTATCTAATCTTTCCTTCCTTCCTTCCTTGTATGGCTCACTGAGGCAGCTGAGTGCCATTTCTCCTAGAGTTGTCAGGAATCAGATAGGATTTACCTCCCTTTATGGCTGTTTAATAGGAAGTTAAGCATTGCTGTGGATTAGAAAGGAGGAAATCTCTATCCTCTCATTGGAGATGCCCTCCTACTATCCGGGCTTGCTAGAGATTCCAGGAAACTCAAGTATTTGTGTCAGCAGGACATCAGTACCAGGTATCATATTCTTTCACCGTTCTTTATTTGTTGTTCATTCTATAAGGCATGAACTGAATTTCCTGTAACATCTGCAGGGGTCAGGAAGGAATTTTGCTTCTGTGGACAGCATGGTACAATTGGCCAGGTGTATTAGGGGGATTTTTGCCTTTTCCTGAAGCATCAGAGATTGGCCACTGCTGAGTACTGAATTTGATGGGCTAGCATCTGATCCAGAATGGCAGCTCCTGTGTTTTCATTTACTGCAGTGTTACTCCTCTCTGATGCAGTTAGAGACCAAGTGGGCAGCTGCTGAAGTGTCTGGGTAGAGCTCAAATGAGGCTTTAATTGTGGTTTATTTTTCTTTAAGTTCAGCAACCAAAACATATTTGAAATATCACAGTATAATTCACACTAGAGCTTCCCTGCTGACAGTTGCTTATATCTGAGGCCTTGGCACATTCAAGAAAACCCTAACCCATTTTAACCCCCAGTCTGTTTATACCACAGCTTTCATATATAGCCTCTTCTCTTTTCTCTTCTCACCCAGCCCGCTTACTTGGTTTTCCTTGAACTCCTTTGCCAGTGGAATTGTCACTCTGTCTCTAATGTCCGCAGTTTACAAAAGGGAGTTGAAAGCCTGTGAAATGAAAGTCAAATGGAGCCATCAGATAATAAGAACAAAGCCTGAGATAGTGAAAGGCTGACGTATTTATCATGAACTGAAGCCGTCTGTGTGTTTCAAATAGGTTGTGCCTTTTTTTTTTTTTTTTTGAAGGCAGCCAGTGTTCATATGGTCTTAGTTGTGACTGAGACAGACTGTTTACCATGTCCTCTGACGGCATCTTTGCAGACTGGGGAATGATCTCCCTAATCAATAAAGAATGGGGCTTTGGGAGCAGAGAAAATCTATCAGGCATCTGAGCAGGAGGAGTGAGCACCAGTTATTCAGAGGCCTCTGTTTCTTGTCCCTGGCTCTTCTCTCCTGCTGAGATAACCACTAGGGCAGAAATCAGTTTCCCCAGCATGGGTGAGTGAGCAGAACAGTGTGGTCAGCAGTACTGCTGGGACTGTGTCAGGAGTGAGCAGTGGTAGCTCCGGGGGTGAATCCAGTGTCCTTCATGATGAGAGGTCAAAGCTATTGTAGTGGCAGAAACCTCTCCACAGTGAAAGGTGGTGAACAAAGACAACGTCTTACCAAGTGCATGATGAGTGACCGTAAGCTAGACATGGGAAATGGGAGAGAGAAAGCACAGGCCAAACCCAGAGAGGAACAGCATAGCCTCCAGCATGACGGAGGAGAGATTGAAATGGAGAGACATTTTCTGCTCCAGCGTCCAAAATATTAGGGAGTAAATGAGAAGAGATTTCTTCAGCTTATAAGCGAGGACCAGAGATTTTCCATCAGATATCAGTACAGAACAGCGTAACCCAGGGACAGAGTGAGATGTTGGAGAAAGCACCAGGCTGCATTCGCAGCACTTGTATGTCTTATCATGCAGCAGCTGAAACTGACCAAACAAGACAGATCCTGGGGCAGCAGGAAGAAACTGGCTGCCTTCACACTGTGGTGAAGGGACCTATAGAGAGAGCACATGCTAGAATAGATGGGGAGAGCCCAATGTCTCTGAAATGGGAAGCCAGACTAAGCGACAAAGGAATTTAGGACGGGGGACCCAGTGGTTCTCGGAAGAGCTTATAGTTAATGTAGAGTATCAAATACATGGGAAGCACACTGGCTTTGCCTGAAAGGGGTGGAGATACTCTAAAGGCTGATCAGTTCTTCACCCAAATACCAGCCCCAGCAGGTGTAACTGCACCCCCTCCCCTCATCTGGTCACAGCAGGCAGAGCCCACTGGCTGAGCCCCCCTGTGTTTTGCTTGGCTAGGTGCACGTGGGCGGCATCATCTTCTCCCCTGGCTCGGTGAATGTGATCTCGGACAGCCTGCTGACCTTGCCCGCCATCGTCAGCATTGCGGCGGGAGGCAGCCTGCTTCTCATCATTGTCATCATCGTCCTCATCGCTTACAAGCGCAAGTCCCGGGAGAACGACCTCACCCTCAAGAGGCTCCAGATGCAGATGGACAACCTGGAGTCTCGGGTGGCCCTGGAATGCAAGGAGGGTCAGTACCCCGTTGTTGTTGTTGTGTTCAGGATGGGGCAAAGGGGAATGGGCTTTGACGTGACTGCATTCCCCGAAGCCAGCGTACGTGGGGCAGTGCACATTAGCAGAAATTACAGGGAGGCCAAAGGTGCAACTCCAAATGCCAGGTAGGCGTCTCTGTTCTGAGAGCCCCGTGTAACCTGCCCATGTCACCCAGGCATTTGAACTGCCCCGAGCCATCTCCAAATCTCACAGACCTGGCAAGAAATGGTTTCCACTTCCTTACTGGGTAAATGTGACGTACCAGTTGAAAATCCCCCCAGTGTCTGAACTGGAGAGGTTCTCACTCACTCCCGAGCTGACGGCTCTGTTCCTTTCCTACTGGAAGAGTGTCCGCATTGCAATTGGCACCATCACATCTGCAGAGGAACTGTGGATGCAGAGCGCCCCACTTAAATGGGAGCCCCTTTTCCCCCCTCCCACCCCAGGGTAGGGCTGAGGCAGCGATGGGAGAGTTGTCAGTGTCCTGGGGTCTGCAGGGCTATCAGAGCAGGACAGAATTAGCATGAAAATGAAAAACAAAAGTCGGAGGGGGATGTGAGATGAGATCCAGCTAGCCTGGATCTGGCGTCTCTCTCCCTCATAGAGCGTATTGGTTGCAGACTCAGGCAGGGCTTCCTGGAAGTGTTGCTGCGTCAGCCCAGTTGGTTTCTTTAGAAATCAAGCAGGGATTTCTAATGATTCTCTCAATCTGCCCACACAGGCAGGTGCCTGGATTTCACCATCTAAGGTCATGGAGGAGAAGGAAAAACATCCTCCTGGAAAGCAGCCCCTGAAGGAATCCTGGGTTTGTGTCTGAGTTCTGCCTGGATTCCTCACACAAGCCTCTGTTAAGGATGGGGCTGTGTCCCTTCAGCTTATTGCAAAATGGTCTAATCTAGACCAGAGCCCTCCCCCTTTGGGATTTCCAGGGCTTCAGACAGTCACGGCACTGACAAATGACTAGAACAGGGTGACTTCTGAGGAATTCTAGGTGCTGTCATGTCAGGAAAAAAATGCAGCTGCAGTCCATGGCTTGTTTGTGTCAGTCAGGAACATAGGCTTTGCTCCTGCTCCTCTCCTCTCACTGGTAAGCGCTAAATCCACTTCACCTCCTTTTATCCATTTCAACTAAATGGCAGGAACATTTGAAAATGGCACATTCACTCACCGAAATGCCTGGACATGCATTCACACACAGGCCTGGTCTGCCCCACCGGATTTCAGTGGGAAATTCCCACAAGATCAGCCGCATCAGTGTTAAGGAGCCCCAGAACAATGAAACTGTGAGCATTTTTGGCTCTGAGCTAGTTACATGACACGGTGGTAAAACCTGCAGAAGTCCCCAGAGCCTTGTCTCCACTAGGGCCTCCCCAGCTTCAGAGCAGTTGAACCAGTGGGAGCGCCAGTGGGAATGTTTTGCTCAAATCCCCTAGTGTAGACAGGGCTATAGTTAAACACACAGGCAGCGTCCTGCACAGACACGTGAACACATACGCAATCACACTCATACACACAGACAGACACTAGACACTTTCTATATCGTGGCACTGTAGCTCTGAATTTTCTACAGCCCTTAAGTGAGCTCTATTCTTTGGTGAGTTCATGTTATATGCAGATTTCTCTACTTCTCCCCTTTCCTGCTCAGCATAGCTAATCGTCTTCTCCTCTACATGTTGGCAGATATGTTATATTAAAAAAAAAAATCACCATGGTGAAAAATAGACAATCAGTTTATAAATTGACCCCTTTTCCTGAGAAACTTCATATGGCCTAGCAGAGTTTTCCTCTCATTGAGCTCCATTGATTTGATGCCAACTCTAGTACCTAGTCTCAGGTCTAGTTTCCCTGGTAACCAGCTCCTGTTTATACCATGTTGCAGTTGAACTGGTTTGAATCTAAGGCCTCCTGAGCCTGTTTATAGCTTCAGAGCAAAGGTTAGGTCAGTGTCTCCCTTCATGGGCTCAGAGAGCGGGAGAGTCTCTGCACCTTCGAGGCAAGCACGCCTGCCCCCACAACTAGGGCAGGCCGTAACGAGTGTATCGGATGCAGACACAGCCTAATGTGTGGAGAATAGGATTAGAGCTTGATCCTGCTTAAGTGACGCATCGAGATTACATTGTGGAAACTGCTCAGGCCCCAGGGTGCCTGGTCAATATGTCTCATTCTCTAATGGCCTCTTGCTGAAGGGGTTTCGTATGGACCGAAGGGGACTCTGACCCCATAGGAATGGTATGGTTCTGGCAAGGAATGAGACAGAACTAGAAAGTGGAATAATCCTGGCCCACAAAGAGAGAAAAGAGTCCACACTGCACCTGCTGGAAGCCTGCCTCCTGGAGCCCAGCATGGCGTCCTAGATACCGAGGAGAAAACGGGCTGGGAACGTAGTGCAGAGAGGTGCAGGCACCACAGGGCTGCTCTCCTGTGCTCTGGCTTTGCTGTCAAAGGTTACATTCTGGGAGACGGTAGAGGAGTGGGGGGTGAGTGTATTGGGGGTATTGCATTGCGGGGCTGTGTCAGGGATGTGCATTTTTACATGGGGTGAAAGGTAGGGATAGAAGCTAATTTGTACATTGGGTGGCTGAGAATCAATGTATACACATTCAAAGGCCTGTGTTGAGGGTGTAGGGAGCTGTGCATTTGTAAATGGGGTGTGCGTAGGTTCAGAGAAAGTGGGAGTCAGTACATTTTGCAGAGGAGAGTGAGCACTTGTGGTGTGGGGTGCATATGAGAGGGTTCATGCAAGTACCAAGGGGTGCATGTGGATACGATCCAGGTTGTCTTCTATGCAGCATGCTCTGCATCAAAGAGATTGAGATCAGACAAATAACCTCTCTAGATAAAAATCTCAGTTAGTAATCACATTTCTCTTTTGGCAGCATAACTGCGGGTGAAAAAATAAACTCTTCCCAGCAGTGGCCATCGAGCTAGCAAGAGCAGAACCTTTGGGATAGAAAGAATCTCCTCCTCGATTTGCTTTTGAGAAACCTTGTACTTGTTTTAACTCGTTGAAATTGTCACTTACAAATTTCAGAGTGTAGGAATCTAGGCCCTAGCAACAAGACAGGCTGGGCTTGGCATCCCAGCAGGGATACAAAGATGGAAATTAAATGATGCTTGCTGGAAGCCAAGCGGCAGCAGGCTAACCTGGGGCTGACTTCTGACAGAAAAAAGAACATTCTGGGAAGGTTTGCTGTTGTGCATCCTAGAAAAGATGTTTTATCTAGTTTGAAGGGAGCTTGGTGGATCAAGGGGAAAAATAAAAATAAACAGAATGCAGCAAATTTCAGAGAATGATCTATATTCATGTTCTTGAAATTTGCATCAGCACACACAGCCAAACAAAATATGAGGAGGCCCTTGCAAACAAGGCAAAGAATGACATGAATGTAGGACAGACATATGGACTCATGGTTGAGGAGATCCTAGCTGGAGTCCTAGAAACTATGGATGGAAGCATCAGTCCATCAAGTATAGTACTCCATCCAGCATCTTTTATGTTTCACTTCACCTCACCTCCACCCCCCACTACACGAACCCCCATAATATCTATGACTATGCTGTACCATACATGGACAGATAAATACCTTCCTGACCCCTGCAGCCTGCATTTGAGGCCCTGAAGCATGATATTAGGTTAGTGGTGTTACTTATAGACAAGAGAAAGAAAGAGAGAGAATGTGGTAGGCACAACAATTTAAAAATAGTATCCTTATTTCTAACTGGAGCCTTTCAAGGTATTTTAGGTGCTTGTACACAAGGTGTGAACTGCATACAAATTAGCAAACATCTTTTGTTCTCAGCATCTGTTCTTTGCACAGTATTTGCACATACTTGTGCACACCCACACACCCTCTCTCTGCTGCTGCTGTGAAAGTGTCTCCCAGCCATGACGGCATGTCTGAGCAACACAGTGAGGTCCTACAGTGACCAAGCTTCCCAAGATGGCCCATTTGCTGTCCTGGATTTGCCTACCAGGAAGGCAGACTGCTGGCTGTTCCCAAAGTCCCTGTTGTTTAGACTCAATTCCCCATGGTCCCCTTTGATTGCACTTCTTTTTCTCTCTCCTCCTGGCCTTCCCCTCTCCCACAATAGCTTTTGCGGAGCTGCAGACAGACATCAATGAATTAACCAGTGACCTGGATCGCTCCGGGATCCCATACCTTGATTATCGGACATATGCCATGAGGGTCCTTTTCCCTGGCATCGAGGACCACCCCGTCCTGCGTGAGCTGGAGGTAATGAAATGGCTGGGCGCATGCTCTCCCTCTCTCCGCTGCTCCTAGTGCTTACGTAGTTTGGACTATTTTCCTGGTCCCTTCTGGGAAGCTAGATTGAAACTCACAGAGCTGTGAAGCACCTTCCCACCTCCCTCGTTGAATCTTATTAGAAGCGCTAGGGTAAGTGAAATAAGCACAGAGTTCATTTTAACAAATGGCCTGGCATTTTATCTCTTTAACACACGACTTGCTTCCTCTTGCTCTCTTCTGGGGCTGGTTTTTGGGGTTTTTTTTATTTTCATTGCTAAAGCACCACCCTGGATCTTGCAAGCCCAGCAGCAAACTGGCTGCCTTCCTTATCAGTGTCTTTTTAAAGTCTCTTTTAATCCCTTTATTGTGGAGAGAAAAGCAAAGGGTATCCGGCTACACCGTGCTCCTGATTTATTGCTGTGTTCCCGCAAGGGATGAGCTTTTCACCTTGGGATGACCTGGCCCAGGATTTGCTGTACGTCGGCAGTTTTCATCCCCCCCTCTCCCCCCGCAATTTTTTTTTTAGATAAGCCATTCATTAAAATTTCAGTGTCAATGCTAACTTCAGTCCTCACTGCCTTGTGTTGTGTTCCCATCAGAATCCTGCAAACAACACTAGATTGGGTTGAGTCAGTACCTGGATGGGAGGCCTTCAAAGCAAACACTGGTGCTGCAGAAAGTAATACCAATTATCATGTAGCACTCTTCCCTTTGAGTTGGTGTTGACTTAGTGCCCCAGCCTGGCATCAGAAGCCCTGGAGGTATTGGGCTAGTTCTCAACTCTTGTGAATTGGCATCGCTCCAGCGAGGTCCATGGATCTATGCCGATTGACACCAGCTGAGGACTCACCTACCATCTTTGGGATGAGATGTAAAAGAGAGGCCTTGACCACTTCTGGTCATTATATTTGCCCTGGTATCATTGACATGAGCAGGTGTTGCTCCTGCTATCCTGGCCAGATTCCAGTGTGGGTAATTGTGTTCTGCTTCCATAAATCCCCCCCTTCAAGTTTCAGTTAAATGTGCTCTTGGCCAAACAGTGCTGTGTGCTATCGAGCAATCACTGTATATCACTCTAGAGGTGGCTGCATTTCACTGGTGGATGAAGGGATCCCTGCATATCATTTGTATCAAGTTACGCTTTGGGATCCTTTGACATGAAAGACATTGTAGAAATATAAGAGATTATTAATATAATAAAAAAACATCTAATTAAAATTAATGAATTAGATGAAAATTCTAACAGCAAACAGCTGGCCACAATTCAAGCACTAAACTCAGCCAGGCTGCTTTTGAATCGACTTCTCCCATTGCCAATCTTCAAAATTTTCCAGTCCCGCATATGATGTTTATTATTTAAATTGCCAAGTAAGCTGATTTTTCTAACAAATGTGGCCACTTTTTATTGGTTTCACTTATGAAAAACAGAACTGCAGGAGTGATAAATGTGTTGCCAATTACACAGTTGTTTAATTATATAACGTTAGTAGAACCAATATATACGGCTCCAAGATGTTTAGTAAAGAATTGCTTAATGTAGTTTATCATTTTGACTCATAATGAATTACTGAACACCAGGACTGGCTGAAAGCCTCAATTAATTTTTTACTGTTTCTCTATAATAAAGCAATAGTCTAAATTAGTAATTAATTTACTTATGGGAGTGTCACTTTTTTTTTTCTTTTTTCGGAACAAGTACAAAATGTATGTCACTTGTAGGGCTTTCGGCCTCAAAGCAGAGGCATTAGTGTTCAGCGAGCCTTATTCACAGCAATGGTGAAGGCAACTAGAGCTAGAGATAGGAGCACTGTTTCTTTCAGTGGCTTGCTGAGATTGTTGTCCTCTGCTTACAGGTCCAAGGGAACGGGCAGCAGAATGTGGAGAAGGCCTTGAAGCTCTTTGCCCAGCTAATCAACAACAAGGTGTTTCTGCTGACATTCATCCGGACCCTGGAGCTGCAGCGTAGCTTCTCCATGCGCGACCGTGGCAATGTGGCTTCCCTTATCATGACAGGCCTGCAGGGAAAGCTGGAATATGCAACTGACGTGCTGAAGCAGCTGCTCTCAGACCTGATTGAGAAGAACCTGGAGAATAAGAATCACCCCAAACTGCTCCTGCGCAGGTAAGATGGGTGGCAGGGGGAGGAAGCTGCAGGGGCATGCCCAGATAAAAGAACCAACATCATGCAGTTGCTGTCCCCTCTCCACCCAGGGAAGAGCCTTGGCTGGGGGATGGGGGAGGCGGGGGGGAGAAAAAGCCGCATGGTTACCAGTGGCTAAAACACACGCACACTGGCAAGTCCCAAAGAAAAGTTGCATATAGCAGGATCTGGCAGTGGGTAGCAAGGAAACCCCAGTCCAGACAGACCCTCAAAGTGCAGAACGAACTCGCCATGTGCAACTCCCATCATGCTTTCATTCATTGCTTTTCCCACTTCTCTTGGCCTCTCAGATACTGAGGGGGATGGGGGGAGTTTTAGGTTTGATCTTTCCATCTAGTTGCACTGGGAGCCCTGGGAAGGCTCAGCATGGGGGGAGAGTGGCTCCAGTCTGGGTGACCCGGTTGACAGTAATAAGCGAGAGTGCGTGGTAGAGGTTTGGACAGCTTGACAGTTAAAACGCATTACTCAGCATTGGCAGGCTGACCCCTGACCTTCAGGGACATTAGCAATTTTACTCTACGTTTTCCAGATGTCAGTTTTTTATTCCCAGCCCAGGTGGTTTCTTGGTGGGCAGCTCCCCTTGCTTCTAACCTGGTTATCTTGAAGAGATTGGATTTGTCACTTCTTTGTTATTCACTTTGGGGGATGGGAGGCTCGAAGGGACTGGGGACCCTGCTCAGAGCTGGTTCCTTTTTGTCTTTGGCTGTTTTGGGCGGGGTTGGTTTTCTCTAAATCAAGAATATCCCCTTGTCCCCGCAAGCTCTCGGCCATGGAGGAAGCAACTGGAAGACAAAAAAGGACAGGGCTGATGGGCTTTTCATCAGTGCCCTATTCTGTTGTGCAGAAGGAGGGGAGGAATGATTGGGGTCAAGGGGGACGGTGGGGGATTAGGAGTGAAAGAGAGAAGTACGAGAGGTAATAGTGCTCTTGGATCAAGTTTAAGATGCTGTGCAACCATCCATGAAAACATAAGATCACGTTAACGCCATGTTACTAGAGACAGGGAAGGGAAATGGATGGACTCATGGAGGCTCCCAATGGAGCACCGCATTTTTCTTTCTGCCACCAGTCCATGTAGCATGACTGAAACTTCACGGTGTGCCAACACCTCCATCCCTAGAGAGTCCTGCTTGACAAATGGGGTGTCCTGGAGCCCATGAAGTGGAGTGAGCTGAGCCAGGACTGGAGACCTCCTCTCATCATCATTGAGTGAAGGCTGACAGCACCATCAGTCTCATTGGTGCCAGGTGACCCCCGAGGTTACGCTGGTGTCTCATTGTCAGACCATTTTTCTTCCCCCCGCACCTCAGTCCATCTTCCAGCTGGGCTGGCAGGAGAAGCAGGTGCCAGATGGAGGAAACTGGGTTAAGGATGAGAATAAAAGCAAAGGGATTCCCTTGGGATTTGGAAATGGTGTGGGGGCTGGAGGGAGAGCGATCTGGGGCAATCTTGGCCAGTATCCTGCACCTTAGCTGATCTGAGTGTGTGAAGGCACCATAGTCATTGAGATAAAAGCACACCTCGTGTTTCTTAGAATTCATGTTGCTCTATGTGTTTGATTCTGCTGCCAGTCCCGGCTCTTCTCCTGTTCAAGGCTATGTTAGTGCGGCGTTAGGGCAGACAGGCACACAGAGAGTTTGCTGTGGAGGCTCTTGCATCTTGGCCACATTTCTTCTGTAGAGTAGCACCCTGCTTGTCCAAAGAGAGTGGGGGCAACATGGAATTAATTCAGATAATTTGGGATTTGGAAAAGAAGGGGAAGCTTTTGATGTTACTCTAAATGATGCACAACAGGAGACATCACTTGAACCCAGAACAGTGGGTTCCACTAAATCTTAAAGGCAAACACTGCCCATGAGTAATACAAAGTGCTACAGTGGGCACTGCTCACCCCTCAGTATTCACTGGCCTGCAGTGTCTGATTTGGACAGTGGTATTTGTGGAATATCTTATTCTAAATATGGGGAATATGCTGGTGAGCTCACACATCGTATCACAGCCCACTGGCTGTTGCTTTTTTAGGGGCACCCACTGCACAAGAGTGAGTGTTACTGGAGACACAACGTGGCTGTTGTGCTTGTAAAACACTGGCCATCCAGTTGCATGTTTGCATTTAATTATTGTTTCAGAGGTTGAAGCAGGGCCTAGGAGAGCGCCACTGCAGGGACCACAATAGGCATGATCTCGTTTGAGCTGCTCTGTTCACTTTTTGAGTGCAGAGCTTTTCTAATCAGCCTGTGCCAGATCAAAGCGAAAGGGAAAAACCTTGGCATTTATGCTTTTTTTATTTTAAATGTGAGGGAATTGTATGGGGAAAAAGGTTCCAGAGTTATAAGCACCTGATTGCATCCCTTCATCTGTGTCTATAAATTGCTTCATTAGACCGCAAGCTCGTCAGAGCAGGGACCTCCCTTCTTGCATGTTTGTTCAGTACTGCACGCTTTTGAGCATCTGCTAAGCCGGGTCCAGATATTCTAGAGATGAGCATGGCATAAAAGCCTAGATGGACAGGGTAAGTAACAGACCCCCAGAGTCTGGGCTGGCAGGGAGAGGGCAGTGGTAAAACACCTTCACCTCACTTCACACCTTTTCTGGCCCACATCTAGGGGTTCAGCCTCCGTGGCCCAATCAGTCCTACACATCTCTGATGACGCTGCGCAACAAAAGTTGCTGTGTCACTGTGATATAAGGGCTTTTGTCTATTTATCTAGGTACTTACTTGACCTTCATCCCTACAGTATCTGTGCACCACACAGTCATTAATAGATTTTATCCTCACAGCCCTCCCATCCAATAAGGAAGGAACTTCCCCATTTTACTGTTGGGGAGCTGAGGTAAATGGCAGCTGAAGTGACTCACCCCAGGTCTCACACACAGTCTGCAGATGAGACAAAAATTGAATTTAGTAACCGGGGTCAGATTGGCACCCATGACTCTGAGGCAAAAGGCTGCCTCCTATTTCCGCTTCCCTGAGCCGTCCGTGTCCCTCCACTCGCACTGACGGCATTTCAGGGCCCTGTTGCATAGGAGTCACCCTGGTTCTATTCCACTGTGTCTCAGCTTTGCCCCATGGGTTGCTGTGCGATGCAGTGCTCACCCACTGTCCACCAGTCCACAAATGGAGCCATCGCCACACTGAAGCCAGCAGCCAAAAGCAACGGGGAGTATTTCACAGCTGGGGGGAGTTTTCAGGGATTCCTCCAGCCACAATGAATATACTTGGCAGGAAATTGCTCTAAATCTGGCCGTGTTTGCAGAGGCAATAACTCATCTCAGAAATGGAAGCTGCGTTAATTTCCCCCGTGGTTTGATGAGTCGCTGTGAAAGCGTCTTCAGCCTGAGCCATCAATAATGACTTTTCACAGTGCTCTAAAAATACAAGGCTGGTGATCTCAGCACTATCCTCCTCCCATCCCCTGTCCCTCACCCCATTACCACCACCAGTAGGTTTTGCTCATAACACAGTGAACCACATCAGAGCCCGCCTAGCAATGTCATAGTCCGATTGCCAGAGACGGAAAACCCAGCCTCAGAGAAAGGGCCAAACCCACAGGGACTGTGTGTGGCAAGCCATCACTCTCTTTGAGTTTCTGCTGGCTTGAAGCATGTATGATTTTTTTTCTTTGTTTCTCAAATTCAGAGGCTGGAGGGATTGTGTTGGATCCAGCCTTGACATGGGAGCAGTTCAGACCCAGAGTCTCTGTACAGGCAGGAAAAGGAGTTAAGCCAGGAGCAAATGTTCTTCTACCGTAAAGAAGGCTCAGAGAGAGAACACAGCCACTCCTTTGTGTGGCTCTTATTTTGGCAGTCAGAGGCTGGGAGTTGAGCTTTCAGTGCCGGGGGTAGCTAATGTGGTCTGACCTGCAGTTTTATGCAATAGTGCCCCATCCTGAAAGCAGCCTGAACCAGTGATCTAGATATGAAAGTCTTCATATCCTATTTCCAATCCCCCAAGCCATCCAGTCCCCTCGGTACAGCCCTGCACTGACATCCCCCTTTCATCCTTTGTGGTACATTGGTGCCAACACAAACTTGTAAGCTAAATGTATTAATCTAAAAGATGACAAGTCACCTGCTGAAAGGTTGGGATTCTATCCTGGTTCAGACTTCCCCAGTCATACGCTTCTGTTTCCATTAGCTGCCGTGAACATCATGGTAAATGGTAAACATCATTTGGGCTTGTAAATAGACTGGGGGAAAGAGACTCACCCCGCATGGTTCTGAATGGGGTTATTTCTCACCCATCAACCCCATTTGGTCATTTAAAAGGCTCTTGTAGCATATCGCCTGTCTTTGCTTTGCCATGTAAACACAGGATTAATGTTACCCTTTTAAGAATGGGCTCATGAAGGCACCTTCCTGCTCTTCTCTGTGGAATTAAACAGCCAATTCCTATTCTAGATAAAATGATGTGGCCTGTTTGTTTCAAATGCCATTTGCAGAGTGAGGGTGGAGCTGCCTGAACCCCTACTCACCCACATGCCGGAGTGTCGAGCGAGTATGTTTTGCATATGGCATAGCCAGCCACACGCAAGACTAGTATCGGTACTCGACGCAGGTGGTGTCATTCCAATGCATACACAAGGAGCTGGGGGACGAGGTCTCCTCTGCAGCAGCAGTGGCATTTGAGAACCTGGCAGTGGGGCAGAAGGAGGTAGTTATTGACTCTGTTTTATCAGAACTGAGTACCTGTGGGTTAGTTCTGTGAATTATCCTCCCAGATATGGCAGGTGACGCGGGGAAACCAAATGAACCCAAAGAGCCTTCATTATCCTCCATTTAAATTTGCTTTTAATTTAATCATTCTCACTCCTGGGCATTACCAGGGTCTTTGCAAATGCAAATAGTTGCATAGCTAGGGGAGACAGTGAGCAGGGATGGAAGAGCAGCATGGAGGGATGCCTTACAGATCCAGCCTTCATATGTGACATGCTTACACTCGATGGAGCTACAGGTCCAAG